ATAATATTCTGTAGGCCCGTACAACAATCTGTAGGCCCGTCCACAAAAACCGGAAACCGAGAAAATGACGTTCAGAGTTTGAATAGTCCAATATAATTTATAAATAATTTTTAGATTTTTAATTAATTGAATATAAAATTATGAGCAGAGAACGTGATACTGACTACCATACCATAAATACGGAACTACGCAATTTCAACACTGACTTTTCTTTATGGAAGTATATATTTCATTCCAAATACACGTATCTAGTAATTTCATACCATTTCTGGAACCCTTGAGGAGGATGTCCATAAGGTGTTGATTGCCACTGCTTCGATTTCGTTTTCCTGTTTGTAAATTCAGCGTCTCCTACGCTTCCGATATTCATAGATTTTTCAATCTCGGTGAAAAACGTACATCTTAATTTCTTCCTGGTTAGACACGAGCATTGTATAAGGAGAGAATAGTGGGCACGGCAGTTGAGTTAATTTTGTTATATAATTTAAATGCATTGAAATGTAAGAATGAAATCTCTTGAATAGAGCAAACCACGATGGCGAGGTGAGCACTGTGGGGTCCCGGCTTTGATCCCGATGTTGACAGAGTAAGTTCCTCGGGATTCACATGACGAAAAGTCCGAGGTCCTATGTTTATCATTTGCAGCATGTTAAAATGGTAATGGAACCAAGGGTAGACTGTATTTCATCTGTTAGTGCAAAATTTCTCCCATAGCACAAACCATGGCGTATTCCCATCTTCATGAGGCATGAGCCCGGTTTGTGCAGAAATGTAAAACGTTAAACCCTATTTCATCTCTTGAATGGCAAAAAAGATGTACTAACGTTTTTTGACTTCGGACCTGACAGACGTTCAGGACGCCTCGTCAAGCTTTTGTAGATATATGGACATTCGATTAAACAAAACTCAGATTCGCAATCAGATTGTAAGCGTTTGGTTAAACTAGAAGAATATTAGCTGTACTCAGTGGCGGACTGGCCAGGTTGTCAGCTTGCCCAATGGCAAGTGGGCCCCCGAGGAAGTGCCCCCCCCCTTGACATTAGACAATATATATATTTAAAATATAAATTATCAAAAAATATATAAATATTAGAAAAAAATATTAGCATGAAAATTCTAATTACATCTTTTTGTTTCCACTTACATATTTTTTGAAAATTTAATTTATTCATTTTAAAAATCAAATGATAGATTTGTTTGGTGGGTGTGCCCTTTTTGTCTTCTGGCAACCAATATTTTCAGACCCAGTCCACCACTGGCTGTACTTCTTTGGTTGAAATTTTAATTCCTGTAATATTTTTAGCTAATGAAATAGCTTAAACAGATCTTCTTCTTTAAATGTCTGTAACGACGAAGATTGTATTAAATAAAGCATGGCATGATCCTATATGTAATTTATTTAATCCCGAAACCAAATTAGAAATGTATTGTTTAATTTGTAATTCATATAACATATGAAGCCAGAAAAAAGACCTGCAATAGGAAGATTTAGCGTGTACATAATGATTCTTGAGTGCAACATGTTTGCTTCAAACGGAATTACAATGATTTATGTTCGTCATCATTTAAAATACCGAAGTCAGCTTTGTTGACTAAGCACTAAACTGACCACTCCAAATTTGTTATAAACCAGCACTTACGCTATTTCTAGAAAGGCAAAGATAAGAGCCAGGAAAACAATCGTTTTCTACAAGATTTATATCAGTAGTTCATTTGTTGTTCATTAACTAATATTAGATTAACATGATCAATTTTTGAACTTTATTCGGTCTTAGTTGGCTTAGTCAACACAAATCAAGCCGATTACTGAGATTAGTTCGGATTACACGGCTATAAATTATCCCATGCCATGTCAGCCATCTCTGCTGAAACCGGATATCACCAACGAGGTGTATTGTGGGAAATTAAATATGATAGTTTAAAGATGTTGGGGATCGTTATTCCGTTTAATTAACTTGGTTCTGTTAAGATGAGTGGGTATAACATTAACTACACATTGATTACTTCGACAAACAAACTCCTTCACTCTCACCTTTGACCTTGTGGCCTATGCCACAATTAACACGCTGGCCTTCAGCGACTTGTTCACGTCGATCTGATGAGTGAGATCAAGATGAGAACTGACTGAATTTTTCAAACTCTTGAGCGAATGAAATAAGCAAGATAGAATATGTATTAATATTCTGTAAAAATGTAGATTATTTTGTTTTATTTCAAATAATATCTTAAAAATGCATATATCTTTGTAAACTTCCGATCCATCCTAAATACATAATAAGATAAGACCCTTGAAATGAAATGAAATAAAATGAAATAGGCTTTAACGTCCTACTGTTCTGCTCCTAACCTGGGCTAATGAAGACGGGCATATGCCATACAGTGTGCTATGAGGGAAATTTTGCCCGGACAGCGGCGTTATGGCCTACTCATATATCGAATTCCAACTGCCAAGGGATCTTTTACGTGCACGCCAATGTGTACACGGGACCTCGGTTCTTCGTGCCATCCGAACGACTAGACAGCTGTCCTCGTCAGGCCCTCCATCCTGCATCACTGACAAGGGGAAACCACGCCGGAAAATCTGGATGAACTTTCTTGGCCAATGCCTAGGGATCGACCACCCGACCTCCAGGCTAGCGAGCCAGCGTCTTACCCATTTAGCCACGTGATCCCCTATTTAATTGAAAAGATGTCGGTGACATTTATTCGGGATTTCTATAAAAAGAAATCTTATCTGATATGCACTGTTTCGATACTTTTTGCTAATGGGATCTATAGTGCTTGGTTTTGTGCTGCTGTGAAACCTTTAGTGTCTCTCAGCCGTTGGTGTACGCGGTAGGAAATCAATCTGGTGTTTAAGCGTTACATTTTAGTCAACAGCTTCAGGCATCATCTTTTCTACTGGCATGGGAATTTTTGAAGGTTGTTTCGCACGTCTTGTCATTAACTCAACCTGAGGTGGTGCTAAGCGATCGATTATTCAAAAGGCGAGAATATGTTTGGTGTGAAGAAATTTTGATGAATTAGAGCCAAGCTTCTGAAGGTCAATTTAAACCTTTCACGAGACTATAATGGTTTTTGTAACGTGCGGGTATTTCGAAATGTTCGCTGAAAGACCTTTTTTCATACCTGTCAATATTACTGAATGATGATAAGGAAAACAGTATCAAATGTCATGATCAAATCTGTATTAAATACTTAAAAGATTGTCCTGTGCTTTCAAACTGTCACATGATCGTAGTGTAAGGCCAAACCAAGTTGAATTTCTTTTCTTCGGGAAAAAACATAAAACCATTCAAAAACAAAAAAATACTTAGTTACTCTTCTCTAAAGTTTTTACTTCCAAATATTCCAGTTTTGAACATTTGACAGAACATCACACATAAAAGTTGATTGGGTTATTTATTGGTCAAGACCCTCGAAGAACTAAATTTAAATTGGTTTAGTCTAATATAATATGTAACAACCATATAACATTGCATTACTGAAGGTCAATGCGTCCTTTACTTTTACGCTATGATTTTTTTAAATACCCCATGCGTCTACGAAACTACTACACGAATAAAACGATTGTTTCTATTTATATACTCTTAATTATTAATGGAACCATAACAGTATAATAAAACTCAGAATATCCATGCACACTATGGCGAAATGATGAACGCAACCCTGGGTTTGCATCAGTTTCAATCAATTATCAGCGGAGGATGCAGAACAAATACAACTTACTGTGTACATACTACTCATTAATACTAATTACAGAAAACAAACGAAATAACGTGAGCTTTGGCGTATTTCTCAAATAACGATAATTAGAGATTTTAGACTGTTGTTTCGTTTGTTGGATGAAATGAAAATTACAGATATTTGGGAAATGTACCAGATGTATTTTAGATGCAAAATAAGTCAAAGATAAATAGTTAATCTCCAATAATAGTCAAGAGGGGCGTGTTGGGTAGTAGGGGCAAGTAATAAATAAAACGTTTCGTTGTTCCCTTTGTAACGCAAAAGAAAAAAAAAAATCAATAAATTATTCTACGGCCCTGCATAGACAGAATATAAATACAATATAGGTAGTTACAACCTGAATATAAAATTATCAATCCAAATAAATAAAGTTCTATTTTACACGATTAAGCGATTGTAAACTTCAAAATACAAATGTGACATACTCGTGTTCTAGCCACACAACACGTCAAATACACCTTAACCAGTCTAATACCTGTTTTATCCAAATGTCTAAGCATATCCTGTCTTGGCGTTTGGGGTCACAAATATCGCAATTACAGTTTAAATGAAACTATTAATATATGAAAGGACACACACACCTACAGTGAACTACATATATCTGTGAAATACACCAAGACTAGATTGATTCACATCATGGAAATAGCTGAGTCGGTTACTGAACGCTTGCATGGTATAAATGCCATGATGGAAACAGTCGAGTCGGATTACTGAACGTTTGCATGGTGTAAATGACCCCTGGATTTAAGGACGCAACCCTCTTTATTTATTAACATTTTATATATTTTAAGGCAAATGCATAATTCACATTTATACCATATATGACACATTACTAAATGAGAATTAAGAATATTTTACTAATCAACGATAAAAGGCAAATGCATAATTCACATTTATACCGTAGACATCACGCATTACTAAATGAAAATTAAGCATATCACTAATCAACAATGACGAACATGTAAACAGAATAACCCTTTTAAGTATTACATTTTATTTACCAGTATCAACAGTTTTCAACGTGTCAATAACCGTAATTTATTACCATATAAATTTATATTATTGATATCTTTATAAAGTAAATTTATCTGATAGGGATGTTGTCCATAAACTAGTTCACTGAACTTGTCAATTACTTATGCAAGCATATGAATTAAATTATTTTCCGCGCAACTAGTTTCTGTCTATATTGTAGACAAACATTTAAGTTCAATAATTTGATATTCAATATCTTTATTATTTATCTATTTCAGTTATGGTGATATTGTACCTAAAACAATTACAGGAAAAATAGTCGGGGGCGTTTGTTCCCTTAGTGGTGTATTAGTAATAGCTCTTCCGGTACCCGTTATTGTGTCCAACTTTAGTAGAATTTACCATCAAAACCAACGAGCCGACAAACGCAAAGCTCAAAAGGTAAACCTATGTGTTTTAGTTCATTTGTATTAACTTACGATGGCGATTGGGTTGATAGTTTACGTGTAGTTAAAGGGCGGTAACTCTTAAAAGCAATGGATTTTAGTTCATAGTGTGATCTCGTGCATCCATTTGTCCTTCAGCAACTTATTGTAATACGGTTTATTGTCTAGTCAACCAGGGCTGGATTGAACATTAAGCAACATAAGCACGAGCTTAGTGTATCATGAGAAGGGGACATCATATAATTTCTGCTTTGTTTAAATGAAAATGAAATGGGGTTTAACGTCCTACTGTTCTGCTATACAATGTGCTATGAGAGAAATTTTGCCCAGGCAGCGGCACTATAGCCCACTCTTATATAGAATTCCAGCTGCCAATGGATCTTTTACGTGCACGCCAATGTGTACACGGAACCTCGGTTTTTCGTACTATCCGAACGAATAGACAGCTGTCTTTGTCAGGCCCTCTGTCCTGCACCACTGACAAGGCGAATCCACGTCGAAAATTTCGATGAACTTTCTCGGCCAATGCAGGGATCGAACATGCGACCTCCAGGCTAGCGAGAATGCGTCTTACCCACTTAGCCACCGTGGCACCTTACTGCTTTGTTAGATGGCAAATTTAAAATATTAAGTTAAAAATTAATTAAAAACTTCTAAATAGTTTTCAATTGTTTTGTCTCTTTTTTTACTGTTATCTGCTTGACTCAATTAATAATGACGTGTACAAAACCTAAAAAAAAAATCAACTGTGCGTTTTCTTTCATTTTGATAAAAAAAAAGAAATAGTTTACTATATTCTGGAAGATAGGCCAGTGCCCAACAACTCGACTACCGCAAACCCCTTTTCAGTAAAGAAAAGCAATTTAAGTAAAATAGAAGTAAAAGCTATTAAAACCATATTATAATATACAAATAGAGCGGGAGCCCAGGGGGTTAACCTAGATGAAAAGTGTACCAATTTTCTCCTATATGGTATCAATGCATGTATATCTGGTATCATCAGAATGTAAGTCTGCCGGGTTTCTGGTGGTGCAGGGTGTGGTATTCCACGCCCAAAATGCCAAGCCCCAAACTAGGCTAGATTAGCTCAAAAGTGTACCACATGAAAATCGTACAGTAGTGTACAGTACATTTTCAGGTGTTACAAAAACACTCTAACAGACATTTCTAGTGGTGGGTTACCCCTGACAGAGCTATGTAACTGTCAGACATTTGTAGTGGTAGAGTATCCCTGACAAGAGTTTTCTAATTTCCAGACCGCAGTTAGGTAAGATTAGCTGAAATCTGTACCACCTAAAACAGCTTTGGAGTTGTTCAGTACCACTACAGGAATCATGAATGACCACTGCCAGACAGTTTGTGCGGTGGGTTACCCCTAACAGACACGCCCAAAATGCCCCCCCCCCCCCCACTACGATAGATTAACCGGCACTGTTCCCGTGGTCCAATACATAGCACGTATAGAAGAGACGATACTCTGTGGTTTCAGGAACAATTTTTTTTCAAAAACGCATTGTTAGCCCCATAAAACTTTTTATGCCAAAAAATCAATTTCCTGTAACCGCAGTTTATCGCCTCTTCTATACGTGATAGGTATTAGTATTCTACGCATCCTGGTTAAAAATTTAATTTTTTAGAACACGGGAACAGTGCCCGCTAATCTAGCCTAGTTGGGGGCGTGGCATTTTTGGGCGTGTCTATTAGGGGTAACCCACCGCACAAACTGTCTGGCAGTGGTCATTCATGATTCCTGTGGTGGTACTGAACAACTCCAAAGCTGTTTTAGGGGGTACAGATTTCAGCTAATCTAGCCTAGCTGCGGTCTGGAAATTAGAAAAATCTTGTCAGGGATACTCTACCACTACAAATGTCTGATAATTACATAGCTCTGTCAGGGGTAACTCACCACTAGACATGTCTGTTAGAGTGTTTTTGTAACACCTGAAGATGTACGGTACACTGCTGTATGATTTTCATGTGGTACACCTTTGAGCTAATCTAGCCTAGTTGGGGCACATGGCATTTTGGGCGTGGAATACCACACCCACCACCAGAAACCCAGCAGACTTAGATTCTGATGATACCAGATATACATGCATTGATAACATATAGGAAAAAATTGGTACACTTTTCAGCTAGGTTGGCCACCTGGGCTCCCGGTATAAAAGGGAAACATTGGTTATCCTCCAGCTATACCACGTCAAGAAATAGTGTTTGTCTGTATCATCACAGTATCCCTCTACTTTCCCACCTTCCAGATTTGCTGCAACTTGGTAAATCGATTCTCGGCGGTTATGAATAAGGTTCCACATGAAAACAAGGAATCAAATAGATACGTATCTGGTCCTATTTCGCTGGAGTTGCCGCTCTATACAATACCCAGATAATCAGAAGGCTTATATCTCTATCAACATACGTAAATTGACATGAATAATTAGCCTGTATAGACAAAGCATATGTATCCGGATTTCCTTCAATAGTTGGTCGATATCTAACTTATTTCAAACAGTCGTTCACATTGAACTATTCCGTGGTCAAAGAGTGTTTATAATGAAATGCTCATCACGCGACCATTGTCCTGTCCTAAAGCTCAGTGGAAAATAGAGTATCCTACCATATCTGTTAACCCTAGTGTGCATGCTATCTGAGAAAAAATTCAACAAAGCTAGAAAATATCGAAATTTATCGACGTATGTCGATTGTTGAGTCCCGTGCACACGATATCGAGCCGAGCTGGATACCTAGTCAAACGGCGACACGGGTTCCGTCATTGGTGACTTACACATGGTAACAAGCCAAGCTGAGTACCTAGTCAAATGGCGACACGGGTTCGGTCATCCCGTAATATGTATGCTACTACAAAATGGTCGTACGAAGTTTATTGGTCATGAGTATAAAAGCAACAGCACATTAAGAATTACAAAACGGATATAGTATGTTTTCTATAGTAAATGGTCACAGACACTTTGTCAAAATTAATATAAGTACATGTATTAATCTTCTTTTTTATTTCTTTCTATCTTACAGAAAGCCAGGTTAGCTCGTATCCGATGGGCGAAAAATGCCAGTGGGGCTGCTTTCTTAAATAGTAAAAAACGTGCAGAGGAAGTTCTGATAGCTCAACAACAGGGGATAGAATTAGACGATAGTTTTAAAGAACAGGATATATTTGAGATGCAACATCATCATCTGTTAAGCTGTTTGGAAAAAACTACAGTAAGTCTTCATATTGAATGCATACATACTATTTAATGATCTAGAATTCTAAAACATGTACTCAACTATTATATGTTCATACTTAACACGGAACTTTGTGCAAGTCCAATATGCGTTTCCGACTTTGGTAACTGTTTTTAACCAAATTAGTTTGGTGGCTGCAAGGGGGTGTGGTGGGGGATCGCCACCAGAGCTGTGAATTTATGAGACCAAGTTTTTCTAGACCATTTTTGTGCGTAGATCCCGAATCTGTGTGGTAATCAGATCAGACGTGTTTGGGGGGGCGTTGACGAGATATGGGGGGGGGGGGCAATGTCTACAATTAGGGGGAAATGTGGTTATGTTGACATAAATGATGACCATGTTATAGATTAATAAAACATAAATTTCTAGCACTGCCCATCTCTATATAAGTGTATATGATGCCCCTGGACAACTGTTTTGATTTGTGGGAAGGTGGGGGTGGGTGTGGGGGCTGCAGGTGTGCGTGTGTGGAAGAGTGTTGGGGGGGGGGATTGGCGAGAAATGAGTTCAAGCTGATATAAATGATGACTTTCTTAGAGCTTTGTATAAAAATTACTTTTTAATGTCGATGTACATCTCTAGATATGTGTATAAGATTCCCATTGTGTGGGGCGGGGCAAAATGTATTTTTTGGAGACAGAAAGCACTTGGTTCAAAATGGACCTGAAAAGTGGCTTCTCGTTAGCTTTTTCGTTCAGTACCAATTTCGTCATTCAAAATATTAAATTATAATGGTAATTATCAAGAGATCTGGAAATGTAAATAAAAAAACACAGTGAATAAGAGACATGTTTAGATAACATTAGTTTATTCTTAGTCTTCATCGGAAGATTCAAAATCAAAGTTCATAATATGAGCAGGATAAATATTTTCTTAATGGCTGATCAACAGATCGCATATATCCTTTGGATATACTTCAGATACCCATTCACATTGTAAATCTTCATTCCAGCCATGCATTGCAGGGGGTCATTTTGTTCGATCATTGGTTTTGCAGCTTGTCTGTATATTGCTGCAAAATAATTGCTGCGTTTAATGTGCAGCAAAAGACCACTAAGGCAAGGTCGTAAAAAATAAAAGCCTTTTATTTTTTCACCCAGAAAGAAAGAAAGGTTTGTTATTTTTCATCACGATAAAAATTCCACCAGAAAATCCTTCTTCTAGCGCCATCTACTGATGTAAGTCGCCTTTTGCCGTACATGGTACAAACAATTTTTTCTAAACCAGCAATTACGTCATCAGAAACATCATTTGTCTGTCCCAGCTCTTTAAAAATTGTTAGAAAATTTGGAATTATCTTGAAAAAGAAAGACAGATAGTCATTACCACGGAAAGCCTGTAGGCCGAGATATTCTCGACACTTTCAATACTTATCTTGATTGGTATATCAAGATTAGTATTGAAAGTGTCGAGAACTGATGTAAGACTTTGGTCCTTAAGACCATATTGTGTCTTTGACTAATTGTTGGTTAACTCTTTCTATGGAGTCAAATCCCACGTACTAATAAAAGCGGACATGTTTATATATAAAAAAAACAGTGATATTTTGGTAAAACCCTAACCATTGTCAAAATATCAATAAAATTCTATCTGTTTATGACATGGGGTTGGTAGACCAAATAAGGTAATTTCCCCACCCCCCACCCCCTGATCTTGGGGGAATGGGGTGTTTATTCCATATTAGGGAAATTAACACCAAGGCCAGTCTATAACGTGCAGAATTAAGGGTTTTTTAAAAGAGGTTGTTGAGTGAAATTGAGCAGAACTCATCCTAATACTCCTAGCAGCTATCATCTATGCTTTATTTGAGAACACCAAAATAGCTTACCTACTCTACTTCGCATTGCAAAATCATGAAGGCGCTTAAACAAATTGTATACTATTCAAAAAAAGTAGGGGATATTTGATTTTTAAGTGTTATTAAAGTCACCTAATGAAACTGACGAAGAAACAAATGACAAAATGAAATGAAGTTCACATTCATCGATTTATTCCAAATGATCGTTAGACTAAGTAAGGCACAGACTGACCATTATAAGGGTAAAATGATACCCGGGGTCAAACAGCAAAGTTACCACAGCATCACAACCAAGTCAGTAACGGGTAAATCCTCCTCTGTTTGCCAAACAAGCATTGATCCGACGTGGCATACTCCTAATGAGACGTCTAAGGTCATTTTGGTTCAGATTGTCCCATTCCTGTTGCAACGCAGCAGCAAGTTCTTGGACATTGGCAGGACGTTGTTGACGTTGACGTAACCTCTGTCCAAGCATGTCCCAGACATGATCGATGGGGGAGAGGTCGGGACTCAGTGCTGGCCAAGGTAATTTGGTGATGTTCTGTTGTTGGAGGTAACCTGTAACGATCCTGGCCCTGTGACATCTTGCGTTGTCATCCTGGAAGATGAAACGGCGGCCATGACGTCGTGCGAACGGCACAACATGGACTGCCAAGATGTTGTCCCGGTAGTACTGGCCTGTAACACGCCCTGCAACAACATGTAAAGCCGTTCTTCCAGCAATAGTGATGCCTCCCCACACCATAACAGAACCACCCCCAAATCGATCATGTCTGATGACGTTAACGTCTTGGAAGCGCTCGTTTCGACGACGCCACACCCTCCTACGTCTGTCCAAAAAATCAACAGTGAACCTTGGCTCATCTGAAAACATCACATTGCTCCAGCGTCGATTATCCCAGTGTTGACGATCCCTACACCAACGACGTCTTGCCTGAATGTGATGATCTCTCAAACAAGGGATCACGCGAGGACGTCGGGCGCGAAGGTGACCCCTATGCAGTCGATTCCGAATCGTCTGGCCACTCACTCTCACACCAATGTCTGTTTGAAGACGAGCGCTGATCTGATTTGCTGTGATGACACGATTTCTCAAGGCCAAGGTACGGATAAATCGATCCTGGGCTTGAGTTGTCGCCCTTGGTCGACCTGAGCGTGGTCTGTCCTGTACAGATTGTGTATCACGGTATCTGGACCATAGCCTGCTTATGACAGACTGAGAAACATTCATCGTCCGCGCCACAACCGCCTGTGTTGTGCCGATCTGTAGCATGCCAAGGGCACGTAACCTTTCATTTTGGGTAAGCCGACGCATATCAAAATTTGTTTTCTGGTCACTAAAACAATTAAACTGATGTTTCCACCCTGGAATTCAATGCCACAATGACTGTAACATTCAAAGTCAGAGTCGTGCAAATCTTGGGTTGGACCCCCATGATGATCCCAAGCATCACCTGCATTCCATGCGGTAGCTATTGGTGCGTTTGGGCGTCACATGTAACTGGAAATGTTTCTTCTGTTAGGTTCTATAGTGACTTTTTTCGTAGTCATTTGCATATTTTAGTATTATGCCCCAAAAATCAAATATCCCCTACTTTTTTTGAATAGTATATTTTGCGTTCTTGGTCGGTCGAAATAGACATCCCAATCATTCTCCTCACAAACGATGATCCAAAAATACACAATTTGATCGATAATCAGACGGGCAAAGGTAGAAAATATCGCGAAAGGTGACTTACATCAGTAGATGACGCTAGAAGGAAGATCTTCTGGGTGAAAAAATAACAGACCTTTCTTTATTACCGTCTTGCCGTAGTGGTCTTTTGCTGCACGTTAAACGCAGCAATTATTTTGCAAGAATTTGGAGACAAGCTGCAAAACCAATGATCGAACAAGGTGACCCTGCAATGCATAGCTGGAATGAAGATTTACAATGTAAATGGGTATCTGAAACATATCAAAAGGATATATTATATTATACGAGCTGTTGATCAGCAATCAAGAAGATATTTATCCCACTAATATTATGAACTTTGATTTTGTATCTTCTGATGAAGACTAAGCATAAACTAATATCTAAACATGTCTCTGATTTACTGTGTTTTAGATTTACATTTAAAGATCTCTTGAAAAGTACTATTATAATTTAATATTTTGAATGACGAAATTGGTACTAAACGAAAAGGCTAACGAGAAGTCACTTTTAAGGTCAACTTTGAACCAAATGATATCTGTCCTCAAAAATATATGTTGCCCCCCCCCCCCCCGCTCCCGGCACCCACCTCCACACAATGGGAATCTTATACACATTTAGAGATGTTTCATCAAGCTCTAAGAAAATCATCATTTAAATCAACGTGAACCAATTTCCCAATTAGATTCTATATTTACATTGAGATATAAATGACTAAAACTGAGCGAAATTGATTCAAATACACATTAAACGGAAAACAAAATCGTGTTGTTGGTGTTTTTCGTTTCAAAACGAGGCTGTATTGAACCAATGATATTAAAGAGCGCCAATTAAATTACTGTACGCCGCCATATTGAAATCATGTGATTTTCTAGTAGTATTCGGTTTCTTTTTCTAATTTGCTCCTAGTAGTACATAATAAACAAGAAACGTTAGCTAGGTATACACATCTCTATCTGTTTATTGTTTATTTGAATCATTGTGCGCCCGGATTAACGATGATAATACTTGTTTCGTACCTTTCTGTGTTGTAGTTAATTCCCCGTTCCCCATATTGGTGTCACTGTTGCGCTTGTTCTCTGGAAACTCTTGTAACCCTGTTCCTTCGGCTTTTTATGGCACTAATTAATCATTCACGTGTAACTTCCTATTCTTAAAATCCCAAATGTACTTAATATAATCTCATTCCCTGTATGTTGAAGTAGCCTACCTATGTCTGTTAACGGACAAACAAACATTTCCTAAAATGACTTTTCAAAGTAGCCAAATGCCTGGGAATGCATTCTAATTACACAAAAGATATATGTATAAGGTAATATTAAAACTGTGTATACAGGTCACAATTCTATGGAATACAATTACTGCTTATTTCTGTGGCTGACTTGCGAAACAGTTGAAATGCATGCTGTGAAATATGTCTGTGTGGAATAAATACCTATACTGCTTTGCTGCATGCTGTATTGCTTTTTGAATGTTATTCAAATACTCACCATTATGCAATGCAAGAGTAAAACCAGGTAGTTTTGGTTTAGAAAGAATAGGCATGCGTACATTTACTACTCTATATAAAACTAGATCTAGCCTTTCTAACATTATCACTTGCACTGTTTTAATAGTGTTAATAATACAAATGTATCATGCTAACTCACTGTAAAGATTCAACTGTGACTTCACAGTTAATTAGACAGAGTTTATTTGTAATGGATATACGTATATCTGGTTTAACTATATCATTATTGTGTACATTATAAAACTATACAAACCATTCCATATATAACGTATTTATTATTCACTGCAAATCAATAGGTATTCTCAAAGTGTATTGTAATTGGCATATGTTTCAATAGCTTTGTGATTAACTGTTGTTGGCAATGAATTTGACTGCACAGAGCAAAGTTTTATGTAGCTAGTTGCTATTATGTTTTAACGTCAGGTAAGATCCCGTGTTGTTCCTCCCGACCCCTTTTCCTTTCGAAAACGTGGCTATATACAGATATATAAAAATATTCATATTCGAAGTAACAATACTTATCTGTAAAACGTCTCTGAATCATCTGTATTTATTTTGACGGTTGGTCACTGAAATTAAAAATTAATGAAATTAATGGCATTATGTGCACGTTGATACTGGAAAGATAGATATGTAAAAAAAAAGCTGCAGAAAACTACTTCTTCAATGATGGCAACGATCTGTATTAATAACCAATCTCCAAACACGCGTTGCAGAATAAAGGAAATAATCTTGGGAATACTGTTTTCTGGAATTGACAGCTGAAAGCGGTATTTTGTAGCATTCATCCCCAGGAAGACTTACAGCAACTTGTGGTAGGTGAGAATGTCGAGTCGCCAAGAAAATGAACAACCGATTATATTTTATGATAAATAATTTTTGATCGCGCCGCCGATGATATTCCACTACAACAAGTCCATTAATTTAATGCACGCAAATAAATTATAAACGCTTCTGAAAAGCAAAACAAACGAATTTTCACATGAGGTGAATGATTGCATCTACATTATCATTAAAGTCACATTCGCCATTTATTTATCACGGTATTGGCAAGTCGTATAGCTACCATTTTCTTTTTATTGATTAGTTCCTGCAGTTCAAATACCAGAAAGGGGGCCATTTTGTTTAATATAGCCACGTAGTTCATCACGTGTTCTATTTGTTGTTTTGTTCAATGTAATTATCCAGCTCCGTTTGCAATTCAGATTTGGATCGTACGTAGTAAAACTTTTAAGATTACCTGTTGTTATTAGCACTGCTCACTGTCTTACCTTGAAATCCATATGCTGCTATGCTACGTAGTTTAGATTAAGTCCATGTTATTGTTGCCAAACATACTGTATGTTGAAGGTTGGTTTTTGGTTTCTAAACTCTTTAATAAAGGAACTCGTTGGTTTTATCTCCGCTTAAAACTGACTAGATGATGAATTTATGCATAAATTTAAATGCCAAAAACAAACCCGTAGACATTTTGAATATTTCTAAACGAACTTTGTGTAGAGAATAGAGATCTTATCAGTGCGCTTATTATGTTTTTCACAGAATCAGAATTTATTTGAGATGGATATGTCATTCAACGGAGCACCAAATAAACCCTCAGAAACCCCGATACCCTCTCCGGACCCTTCCATAGCTTCTGTGGATCAACGACGAAGACGCAGAGGATGCTGTGCTCGCAGGTTTTCGCCACATCGAAGATTTCTAGTAAATAAAGTAAATAGTGGTGTCCATGGTAACCTCAATAAATTCAGTTTAACTTCCATATATAAAACTGAAGTACAAAACGATTGAGGGTGGAAAATAAAATGCCTATGGACACCTCAAAAAATGATAAAAGTTCATTTTTAAAATAAGGCTTCGTATTGAAAGTCATCAAAATTGTTTTCCTTTTAATTTATCAGCATTTTTATTTGTATTCTTAGATTACTTTACGTAACATTTCCATTGTTTTATTTGATGTGGAAAAACTCTTCAGAAATAATAGGTATTGCAACATAAGACTGAAATCTTAATTGCATTTGAAAACTCCGGGATTTCATGATAGTTTTAATGTACAAATAAATACATTAATAATACACTGCCTTTCATAATAAATAAATGTAAGAAAGACAATTACTGTGTCCGAAGAGACGATAATTTGTTAGCATGGCATTTAATTACTAAACGGATCCCTAGTAAAAGAGCTTGGTGTCCATGCATTCATGTTATTATTAGCATTTTGAATATTTTCAACCTGTTATTTAATGGACGTGGTAAACAATGGAAATTGTTCTGCTGAATAATGAACTTTTTGTGATTGCCATTATTCATTTTACTCAAGAAATTGATTATTTTTATAAAATATATTGCATGTTTTGATTTTTAAAGGTATTCAAAATTGAACTAGTTTGGTTTTATTTTTAAAAACAAAACTTTAAAAAGAAGATTTTAAGTTACCTTAATAAATGTAATGATAAAGATATCAGTAGAATTACCAATTAAAATTTTTGATCATGATATAGGAACACTAATTTGTCCATCAAAATAATAATATAGTCTTTAGTACTCGTCTCAAATGTTTTTTTTTTTAGTAAAGTTCGAACAACGGTTACCGCGTTTAATTCGATTACAATTTCGTTTCGTTCACATTTATAATTTTTACACTAAACTGCAATTTTTCTTTCAACAACCAGTTTTGTCTAAAACACTACTAATATTAACACTACTAATACTTACTGTGGGTAATTTCCAATTTAGCTACATACCCGTAAGGCCATTTTGTCCTACAACAATAAGCCCGGTATAATTAAACAGCAGGTAGATTTGGTCTGAACTCCGGTTTTAAAGAAAATATGGAGTACAACATCAAAAATAAAACGAAACGTAATTGAAATCTCTGTTTAATCAATCTGATTAAAATACAGATCTATATTTCGTTTCGTTGTTTTATACTTCCGATGGTCTACACTACATGAAGATCTGACCAGTTGTCCTCGAGGGTCGTGTCAGGGGTCGTACAAGCGGCTTTTGACCCTATGACGACAGACATTGATTAATCAATCAGCGTTGGCGTTTCTAGTGGTTTACCCACAGTCCCGTGAATGGCACCCCAAGAAGTCGCCGTAACAGACTGTTCATTGGCTTATCCCTCACTTTCAACCAAAACGTCGGTAATATAACAACTCTTCCAGATCCTAGTGTAGTACAGACAAGTAAACCGAAATTTTGAACTATAAAAAACGAAATGAAATAGGATCTGTTTAATCAGACTCATTTATCTGGTTCACTTTCTTATGTCATTTTATCTTGTTGGCATTTTTTTGGTATTTCTCCTGATATTTTTGCTTTTTAGCACTTTCTTCACATTTTAAATCAACTTAATGATATACTAAGTTATTTTGTTTTACTTTCAGAAGCGGACACGCAGTGAGCATGGTTATGAGCCGCAAGAACTGAATGATATTCAAATACGACTTCCACAGTTGAACCGTACGTCGCGTTCCAGTCTTAACGCTGTTGATAATACGACTTCAAACAAAACAAATAACTCGGTAACCGTCACTACGGCTATTGTGACGCTTCCCACCTCGAGCACGTCGGAAACGGAGTCGGTTCGAACACAGAGCACCAGTGCGCAAACCCAGTCACCTAACCCTAGCGTTGTACGGATATCCACGTTATAACAGCACATACGCAGTGTTGAAAATGATGAGACATTTAAAACTGAAATATTTCTACAGAAATAGTTATGATTTATTTAGTCGATATCATTACTATATATATATATATATCTAGCCCTTAGCAATGTGGGAAGGTAACAATTTCCAGTGTAAAAAAGGAGAGAGAGACGATGTTTTTATCTTACCCCTTTTAACAGTAATATATTCCTTCGGTCGTTAGTGACACAAATTATTATACTATGTATATACATATTATATATACAAAGAGAATTGACTGTTGGACACGCGATCCTGTGATTTCCGATGTTCGTATTAATAATCGAAAACAGCAGAATTTCCCGTTTACTGCTCAAATCTCTTAACCCGCACACAGCACATATTTTCATTCTTTTTCATCAGTCTGGATGATTTTTCTACTATGACGGGAAATTGTTACCGGGCCAATTTTTTTGGTTAGATACCGTGAACGCTATTTAATTCAGGTTTATATTGTTTGTTTTTTCTTTCAATTTTCAAAGTTTTTCATATATATGTTGATTCTGAGTGCTTGAGGTGCGATCTTATTACTGTTTACCATAATTCCATTATAATGATATATATATATATACATATAAATATAGCTTGACCCTTGTCAAGGTTACGAGAATGTGATTCCTCTTCTATTGTTCCGGATATAATGTGTATATGAAGACGTAATTGTGATACTGGGTGAATGTTTTGTGTATACAGATGTGCACGATCAAATGTTAGTAAATGGAATTTTAAAAAATGACAAAGATATTAGGCATACTGTGATTGTGGCGAAAGAAAAACGTAAGGAAGGAATATATCTGCAGTTATCTCCCTTAGTACTTGACGTTTGCACGTCTGACGTGGAAAACAAAAATCGAAAACGAACTGAATAATATTGTTTATTCTATTTGGTTGATGTTCACGAATTTAAAGTCATTTAGCTGAGTATTCACGATGTCCGAAACCAATCAAGGGAATATTTTCGAACCGTAATGTTCGTTGATTAATTAATGAAGAAAAAACTGGTCGTAAGCCCCGTATTTTTTTTTTTTTTTTTCAATTAAGCGTTATCAAAAGAACTTGAACAGCAGATAGCATTTTCTACAAAAGCAATCAAAGAAGAAGCTTAATGCTGGAGATAATGATTCGAAAGATATGTGCACAGATGTTTTTGATAAATGCAAAATTTGAGCTTCACCATAACTATTCAAGACTTGTATTATAAAATAGAAACTGAGGAATTTGACGATTTGTACATATTTTCTATTTGATTTACAATTTTTGCATATCATTTTTCTTGTGCGTCGTTTCACACAGCATGGTAACTCGTCATACAAGATGGGGTCATATTCTATGATGCCATTTACCAGTGACTTTTGATGTGTGTCTTTTTATTACCTCATTGTTTACTTGGCTAGAATATTGCTTCGTCCCTCTAGTTGGTGATGCCCCTATTAAAAGTATACTATCGACAGAACTGAAGTGCATTCTGTAAAGACTGTCCCCAAAAACACCAAAAATATTGCTTAATAGCAGGTAGTAAAATGTCGGATAGATTTTACCGGTTGCTCCTATTCCTAATTCTGTACTTGATTACAAACAATATCCAATACAGCTTCACTCTAAATGGATTTATTCTTCCTTTAAACTTTGCGCAATATTTCCCGAAATGTAGGCTACTCCAGTTCTTTCGGTGGTATTCTCTTTTGAATGCGGTGATGCCAACAAAGCCAGTTTGTGTTGAACAAAAGCTTATCCTCTAGTTTGCTGTGAATACTCCGTAGAAAATTGTCTTTTTAAAATGTACAATGTATGTTAGGATTGTCTTTCAGAATCTTATAGTTAATGAGAATAAATCAGACTTGGATGAAGACACTATATCAAAATTGATTTGAAAAAATACATTAAAGGTATGAAAAGACATTTTGAAATCTTTGGTCTTTTTAATAACTAAATGCTATTAATCAACGACTGATTTGCCGTAAGAAAGTGGTAACAATAATGTTACCTTAACTATTCTTACCAGTGTCTCCAAGTATGATTTATTTGAATAGATCGTCATGTTTGCTCATAGTACCAATATCTATATAGGAGGTATCGATTCCTAGAATTTTTCTAAAATAATACTAAATAATAATATGTTATTCAATTTTTACTATCTTTGCACATGATTTTCTTTTGGTCCTGCACCTAAATGCAATTTATCCATTTAATTTTTACTAAAAGATTATTTTCAACAACTGGAACTATATATGCACACAATTCTTTGTTTCGTTTCCATACGGTTCAAGCATTGTAAGCAATATTAGCTAAACATTTAGGCGATTATTTCTTGTATTGTGTGTTTTTTTAAATTGTGCATATCTTATAATACATTTATTTTGCTTACATAGTAATGGCCCAGAAATATACCAATTTTTACTCCATTATCTTCATGAATTACTCCCCTTTTTTCAGAAGACGATTGCATAATTATCTTTATCTTTTATTTATAACATTTCATTTTTCTTCGTTTGTTCATATTCTTGACGCAAAATCAAAAATTAGCGACATGGTGATGTGTGGACTTCTGTATCCATGACTTTTTAAAGAATATAAGAAAGACATTTGAAATGTATCTTATATTCTGAAAAATGAAATCTGCAGAAATCAAAATCATCAGTCGCCCCGTATACCTCATCTATCAACCTTTCGTATAACTTTAGCTTTAAAACGATACTTAAATAGTCTTTAAAAGTAGGAAGCTAACTGTTGTTAATTACATCTCTTTAACTGATATAGGTTTAGTTGAAATTATTCACCGGAAGTGAACTGGGATGATCTCAATATGTTTTCTAAACTAATTTTGTTTTGATCCAATTACCATGACATTAACAAGTCATACTTTGTGTGTAACCACAATAAATATGTTGTACTTTGTTGCATACAAATCTACACCAAATGGTATATAGAAATGAGCCTCCATTAAAAATCATTAAAATTATTATAGTAACCTAAAAAAATGAAAGCATAAATTTCAGTGCTCCATATAACGGGCGTGTCAATCCCGATCAGGCAAGCTAATGTATTATAAAATGCAGGTTAGCTTACACACTGTACCCACGATCCTTTAAAAAACTTTTATTTCCGGTGTGTAATGACTATGTAAGAGTAAAGCAGTTTGGTCTTTTCATTCATAATGGATGTGTGTTTTTCAGAAGGCTCAGTGATCCCATGCAGGGTACGCAATATGGGAATACTATATAAATTAGATTATATGGAACACTGTGACTGATGTTAAGCAGTTGAATCCTGAAAGGAAATAATATATGCATTGGTTGTAGAAATTTTCGTTTAGCACCCTTTGGGAAAGAGCTGTACATTTGAGTGCAATCTGATTAAAATACAGATCTATATATCGTTTCGGTTTTTTTATACTTTCGACGGCCAACATAACATGAAGATCTGACCTGTTGTAGTGGGAGGTCGCGTCAGAGGTTATACGAGCGTTTTTTCTACCCTATGACATCAGACATTTAATTAAACAATCAGCGTTGATGTTTCTAGTGGGTTACCCATGGTTCCGTGCACCTCACGCCAAAAACTCGCCGTAACAGACCGTTTCATTGGCTAATCCCTCACATCACCCAGAACGCGGGTTATATAACAACTCTTCCAGATCCTAGTGTAATAAAGATAAGTAAAACGAAATTTTGAACTATAAAAAACGAAACGAAATAGGATCTGTGTTTTAATCAGATTGGTTTGAGTGAAATTTAATCAAAAATATCGAAGTGCATGTTTAGATTCTTTTATAAATCTTGCGTGCTAAGTTGTTTTCCAATGGAAGATAAACAACTTTGCAACAGAGAAACGATAGTAGTTTCTTAATAATTTAATGAGTATCGTTAACAAAGCATCGAAAATAGTTTATGAAACTGTATAAACTATAATACAAGTAATTGTTCTAGAAATAAGGTCAGGGTTACTTCCCTTAATATATTTTTTTTCTCGGCAACCAAGATATAATTTTAGATTTGTTTTCTTTTTCTTTTTTGAAATAAAAAAAAATGCACTGATTTGTCTTTCAAACCGTCTTTCATACTTCAATAATCCTGTTTCATTTTTATTATTATTATTATTTTAATTTATTACCATTATTATTTGCACGCGATGAATGTACAGATATTGTTGTTATATTGATTACTTGATATTTTTGCTTGTTTTAAGGCATTTTCACCAAGTTTCAAGTTTTAAAATTCTTATAATCAATACTTTAATGTAACAGGAATTGGTTAAATCAGTTTATAATTCTAGGACAATAATTTATATTATATCTAAAAACAATGTCCACATTTCTTTAACCAGAAGTAAATTAATCTGATAGTTATAAGGTTAATCCGAGAGTTGTAAGGTATTGCAGCTACTGGAACATTTTTGACTAATATGGGTTTAACTCTGTGTCTGGCCTTTCGTTATTATGGGACTTAAAGCGATAGTTTTATATCTCTTTTAAGAAAGTCAAAACATAATTATTTCTATATCTATTGTTTAATCCGTTGTCAAATCACTGTTATACAATCATAGGAATCATTCTATCACTTAAAAAAAACAGTCACATAATTTTTTTGAATATTTTCTACTCGCCCACGGTACTTGGAAATTTTATCATTTTTCACTGGAAAACTATGTCAGATAAGGATAATGATGCCTGGTTAACTGAGGCAAAATTACCTCCCCTGGGGGTCTCTCTGCTAATGTGACACTTTGAAAACGTCAACGTTTTGTTTTCAACAAGAAAATGATATATTTCCCAATTGCTCAACTGACACTTAGTCTAGTGAATTATAGGATTAATAGGTAGGACTGTGTATAGATGCCGTATATTTTAAGGCTTTATTTTAACATATTTAAACATATGACTTAAAAAATGAAATTATCGCTTTAAGTGGATCCAGAAAAAATATTTGGAATTTGCCATGTTAAATACTAAATTTACATAAGCTGGTAATACCAATAAATATTATAAAAGACGTAAAGTAGTAACGGGTGATATTTTAAAATAGGGCGAGACAATGTGACGTTTAATGTAATTACCAAGAAGCTGTCAGATCAAAGTAGCCTAAATGGGATGCCAATGTGCTTCCATTGCATCCAAAAATAGAAAAATTCAGATTTTAGGTAGGTACATAAATCTAAGGTGACATGATTGGTATTCAATTATAGTTTCCTGCCGAAATATGTTGCTAATATTTTATAGAAAACAAATAATTAGTACACAACAACTAGTTGTAGCCATCACAGATATTTATTGTAAAAAGGATTAATGTTATAACTTATTTTGTTTTCTATCGTTGTTACAAGTTATGAATTATAATATATAACTTAAAATGTTATAAATGCAAATAAATACCTTTATAGAAAAGGATTGGGGCTATTGTATTTGTAATAATGATAACAAATATTTTCATTTTTTATTTTATTTTAGATCTCTCAGAAGTTTATATTAATTCACGTTTTTGTTTAGTTTTGTATCAATTGCAAGATTTTGAAATATTTGCAAATTTATTATTTACACATTTCACCTACCTTGTAAGCTTTTATAATATATTAACTAGATTAATCCTATTGTCTTCAAAAACACAAATTCATCCATTAAATTATATTGAATTTAGCAGTAAAGGTGTCATTCATTCAGTGAAACAAATTTTTAAAATATACCCAACTATATGTTAATTATGAATTGGCTTTGTTTAAAAATCGTGTCAGAAATGTTTTTTAATAAACAATAAAACAGCAATTTTCTCTATATATACATATATATATACTTGCACAGAAATAAAGCAGCCCGAAACGTTGGAAATCAAGAGTCTGTTTGTTTAAAATATAAATATTTACAATAGAATGAAAATAATTACCTTTTATTTGAGATATTATGCAATCAACTAATGAAAGTTGGTGAATTTGGATTTTTGTAGACATTTTATCCACTCATTATAACTTGCTGTTAATGATAATTCTCCTATATTTTTTGTCTGATATCAATAACTGATCGACCATTGTTGTTAGTATTTTCTCTTTTTTTCTTGCTTGCTTGGTACTGGAGGTAATTACTGTTATTTTACAATTTCAAGCATTAATAAAAACCCCAAACAATCACTTGATCTGTCTTTGTTATACTTTTGTTTGATCTGGATTATCACCTGGTCGACAGAGACTACGTGTAATTGCCCTGTATACCTATATTGGTATCTTTGTTGGATTTATCAGATTACTTACATTGAATTGATATACCATTGCAAAATTAAATTCATTCTCTGTGTCCCGGTTCGATATTCCAAATACTCTTTAAAACTCTAGCCCGAATGTTTGACAACCTGGAAATCGCTTGAAAATGCACAATGCTTACACAAGCAGCCGTTGAGCCATTATCCTACAAGGTCGTATGCAGTGCTCTTACTGGGGGGGGGGGGGGCACAATTTTTTTAATGTAGGACGTTTAACCCCCGTTCAATACATTTCATTTCTTACTATAGCTTAAGTCTTTAAATTATATTGTATAGAAGTGGGTGGATGTAAATACACGATAGATTTAGAATTGATAAGTACGTTAGCTAATGTAAGACCGACACATTAGACCGTTAGTTAACAATTAATCAATGTCTAGTATCAAATAAATACCAATAACCATTGATCCACTATAATAATGAAATGCCTATTTCTGAAATGGCAGATTGGACAGTGTTAGAAAATAAGGTAAGCACTACCCAACCTTCCTGCCAGCATTTCAATATTAAGATCTAATGGTATAAAATGTGGTCGGTTACTGAATACCTAACAAATTTATCCATCTCAGTCAACACACAGATATCAATAATTTTAAACTGTAAATGTCACTTCACCATTGGTAGCTGTCTCTACAGAGCCCATAACCACCAATACACGAATCCTGACCTGATTACCCCAGTCTCCTATTTTCTTAGTTACCCTGTAGCAAATATATTTATGGGACGAGGAGGGATACCAATTTCAATAAATGCAGCTGTTCAGTATACTGCTGCTGACATTCAATCATATCTACAAATGGCCCATAACTGTACAATAAATGAATCCTTTCAGAATTTGACAATCGCGATTTGAACTTAATAAACAAAATTTTATCAATTATTCCACTCATGTGGATAAACAACATGTTATCGGATTACTCCTGATATCCAACTTTCAAGACACAATGACCTCGAGCGCTATCCAGAAACGTCAAAAAAAGATATTTATGAATTTATGCAGACTGGCAAAATAATCTCTTATAGTTTTGTGTTGACCATGTGCGTATTCCGAGACTATATTCAAAACATGCCTGAAGTTACTGGCATATTTTAAATTATTCTGAGTAAACAGGAAAGGATTCCCCGTCTCCAGGTTTGGATAGAACCAATGCATTTTACGTCAATTTAATCATAGATATGAGTACTCTCCGATATAAATAAACAACATGAAGGTGTTCCAACAAGGAAAGCACCAGTCATACCATGCAACTAGACAAAATAAACATGAGCTAAGCCCTTGATAAGTACTGATGATATATTCTTCAAAAAGAGAAACGCATAGTGACATTTCGTCGTCGGTATACCTCGCTTTACCATCGCCTCGTCGCTGAAACAAACTATTCTCCAGCGTTGCTATGACCATACCCTTTGTGTCTGAACTCACTGAAGTCGGAAATGAAATGAAATAAAATGGGGTTTAACGCCCCACTGTTCTGCTCCTAAACTGGGCTAATGAAGATGTGCATACGCCATACAGTGTGCTATGAGGGAAATTTTGCCCGGGCAGCGGCGCTATGGTCTACTCTTATATCGCATTCCAAATGCTAAGGGATTTTTTACATGCACGCCAATGTGTACACGGGACCACGGTTTTTCGTACCACCCGAACGAGTAGACAGCTGTCCTTGTGAGACCCTCCGTCCTGCGTTTACGGACTGTCTGGTCTGAGATCTTACGCCGTCTAGGAATTGCTGTTGCAGTAGAGGTCGCTGTTGTGAACCGTTTCCGGAAATGACGTAACCCGATGTGACGATCTTGGGCAGGTGTGGTCACTTTTGTTCGGCCTGAGCTTGGGCGGTCACGTGTTGAACCTATCCCAATGGCTAGAGATAGTACTCTGGGAAACATTCAGCAGCTTGGCTACATCTGTCTGGGATTAACCTGCTTGTAACCGACCGATAGCTTTTTTGCGTTGGTCTTCGCATGGCTCGTTGAGTGTTTACATATGCAACTGATTTTGAAACCGAGAACCCCTTGATTTTAAAGGCCTTAGATTTAAGTTTCATGCGAAAAGCTTGCGAAGTTCTTAAACGCATGTGTCTTGGTGCAATCAAGCGAAAACAAATTTCGGCAAAAAGTATGACCAGTCACAATTAGTGACCCTATATTTAAAAACCAATAATTAATTTCTTTTATGGAAAAAACGATCACGTTCAAATAAAAAATGATGAAAAATTTAGCTATGCCTTTCTTTTTTTTGAAGAGTATATAAAGAAAATAAGAAAGCGCGAACAATTAAGTTAAGTCTAAACACTATAGGTACTTAAATCGAATTTTGACGTAAGTTCTGTTAATTGTAAACATATACTCTGGTGCAAAAGCTGACACTAACGAAATTTAGAATATCATAATATAAAAAAAAAAAAAATAAAAGGGATAGAGAAAGAGGGCGGACCTGAACAACTATGATTTCGGCCATACAAAATAATGAAAAGGTAGATACAAGCGCCGCTGCTTTTAATTATCATATAAGAAAAGGGACCATCAGATAATTATATTGCCAGAAGTTTATTTATATTTGTTAATTTAATTGCATGACGTATCAAAGAGTATTGTAACAGAGGGTGCAGTTAATTCAACACACCACAAACTATACCCATTACAATCATGTTTGTGTACTCTTCTCCTTTCTATGGCGGCAAACCACATTATTCCATTAACGTTGCTATGTAGAACATGACGTTCATCTGTAAGGTATGCTTAACAAATTGCTGACAACTGCCTAGTAAGGGGTGGAAAAATTTGAGGGCAAAATGTAACACATTGTTTCTGTCATACTCCGAGTTGTTCACACGGCTTTCTTAACTCGACACGATTGTGTGAGTTTCTCATCGACGTTGTCAGAAGAGCAATCAAGAAGTCTATCAAGCATAGTTTACGGTTTTAAGTATTAAATATTAATTAGCAATAAGAAATTCGTCTTTGGTTAATTTCGAGAGCAGGAAGATGAAAATCTACAGAACGTTTGTGCAGTTTTTTTTTTGTTTGTTTTTTTTTTGTTTATCCTAAACATCAATCAAAATATTACGAGTTTCTATATCCACTAATTTAAATGGTTATATTGTCCGGGTCGGATCCAACTTCGACTGTTGAATCCATAACACCAAGGATTGCTCGTGAATGAAACGAAATCTTGTTTGGATGGCACGTGCGCGCTGTATCATAAGGTCTGGCATTGAGTCAACTGGCGTGGCTTCGATTCCCGGGTTGTACGTAGGAGTAGGGTCGCCTGTCTAACCTTGTGGGTTTTCTCCAGGTCCGCCCCCCCCCCCCCCAACTGCTAAAGACGCCTACGCGCAAGCGAATTATTGAAATAGAATTGAACCATATGTTAATCCAGAAATGACATAGTTTATGTCGAGTGGACGTTAAACCCCATTTCTCTCTCCCTCATATTAAAATTATTACATCTATAATTCTAATAACCAATATAGGACACAGGAACATAACATATTCATATATAGTCATTTCGGCCATCGAGCTAGTTCACGTCTGCCTCCATTAACCCTCGTTCTGTCTTGAGCTTGCCAGCTCCTCTAGTGAGCAACTAAAGCCCGTCTCTCTGTCAGGTTTCTACCTGAGATCATTTATAACGTTCAAGGTATTACCAACCACCTTAGTAGTATTAAACAAGTTATAATACATATATATTAGTAGCCTTCATTTACCTGCCAATGCCATTGTCTTACATATGACGTCCCGTTAAATGCAGTTTTGGGTTAAAAGTGTATTTTTATGACATACCCGCAATACGGTTAATTAACATTCGGTATCAAAAAACAATTACCTAATCTAAATACAGGTAATTGCAAACAGTATACTACTCGGCAAATATATGTTCCCGTATACATGTTTCCAAATTTTAAAAAAAAAATTGAATTACAAAGTTATTTAATTTACATGGTTCAGCGTTAGTTTGCAAGCGTGGATATTGACTACTAAGGATAAAATAAATAGAGGAACTTATGATGGCAGCGTTTACTGATTGTATCGATGTTATCTGAGGAAAAGAATAATGCAAATTAGTGTGCGTGTTAATTAAACCTCCGTCTAATTTATGTAATCATCTTCGCCACGAACTTAAAATAAAATACTCTGTAGCTTCTCCTTTTTTTCCGCTGCGTGTATATCTTAAAGCTACTTGCTACATTAGTTAGGTGTTTGGTTTTGACTTCATGTAGTACTATGCTTGATATGCGTCGCTGGTTAGACTTGGAAAGTACATCGAAAAAATCCCCACAGCCGACGTGTGGCGCATACTCTCTCCTGCTACATGTTTTAATAGCCTTGTGATCGTCTAGTATTGTCTTTGGTTATATTTGTAATTCTCTTCTTTGGATTCTTTTTCACGTTTTGTATTTTGTTCTTAATCTCTGCCGCTAAGACGTTCGTCTATCAGGTACAGCAATGCTACAGTTTGTTTCTACATTTTATATCAAACCTGGATACATAGGTTACAAGCATAGGTTACATTACAATACTTAAAATTGCCCCTAACTCGCAGATGATTGTACTGACGGCTACATCATATGGCTCTGCTACAAATCAGTGGGTTCTACTCAATCCAGATGGTACCTCTTGAGCCTCAACGGTCTATGCCCTCAAAGAATCTACATGGTGTCTACCCAAGAGCGTTCGTTCGTTCATTTTTCCTCTTCCACTAAGGGTGATATCGTAGACAAGCCCCAAGAGTGCACATTTCTTATATCCGTTCAGATACACAGCTATTAATTATTATATTGGCTAATTATGATGTAATTAATCATGTGAGTGGTCACTCATGCCAAATATGGAATGGTAACTTTCCTATCATTAGTGATAAACATTATATTCTGGTTTCACAGAGAATCGGCTATGTTTATCAATCACGCATTCAATTTAGGTGTGAGAGATATGACTTCTCCACAAAATAAAACCCAATAATTAGTTAAAGATATAATATGGTCGCAACTGCATGGGATTCGATCTTCAGAGGGCTTATTTAATGTTGCACTTTAAACGGTAATGCAACAGCGTGCTTTTACCAAAAAGTATATGGTAACCAGACTTAACATGCACTGAAACGCCGTATCCAGGCGCCGCATGCAGTAAGTTTTGTCTATCAGCCAAACAATCCCAAAAGTACAAGACAGAAGGTGTAACATTGTTTTGTTTAATCCAAACCTCTCCTTAAAGTATAATATACGCCCCAAGATTATGAAAGATTAATACTGGTCGTCAGTCAATGGAAGAAAAATATTTGTAACGCTATCAATTTCAGAATGGCAGCTTCGGTAGTGATGGATATGTATATTTTTAAGTAAATTCCCTTCTTATGAAGTGCATGGAGTAAAAGCGATGTTTAGGTTTATTTACTTATAATATAGGATAGAGAAGGGAATTAATTTTGGTGAGTATTTGAACAGTTCTTCGTCTTGTTTGTTTTATAACGGGAAGGTTGCTAAGCGGGCGTGATTTTGTTCTATTTGATCACTTTAACCTCATCTATAACTCTGTGTGTATGTCTTTTCCCTATGTTTGTTGGTTGGTATAGTCGGCTACTAACTTCTGTTTGCAACTCTGTTTCGTCTTTTATCTTGGTGAACGTGTGTAGTATACAATTTACGGAAGTCTCTTTTCCCGGGAGTTCAACTAGGACGATACTATGGACTGAAAATCTTTTCAAAGTTTATAAAATTGTTTGTTAGTTCATAAAATAGTGGTTGCACGTAGTGAGGATTAACACACCTAGTACCTGTCCAGATTTATCAATGAGTTGATGCAACTAATTAAAAAATTGCCGAATTGTTTTTACCAGAAGATTGCAATATTGGAGTAGCGCGCACTTTTAAATCTGAGTTTTCCGGTATTCGGAAACTATTTGCAAGACCCTTCCTTCTTCGAGATTTGTAACTAATTGGATTCACAAAAAACATCATTGAGTGATCATCCATTATCAAGTTGATTTTCGTGCGTGGGGTAGCAGCGAATGAAGTGTGTGTGGCTGAAATGAAATTCATTTCATTCTAGGAGATGTCCAAATCAGATTTTATTTTAAAAATTGAAACTTTTAATTTCCATTATATTAAATTCAAATATAAATTTCATTGTAAGTAAACTTTTAACAATCGAATTAATAATTTATTTTTGGCATAATTGACTTCTGTGAATTTAAAATGAACCATTGTGTTAAATTATGGATATCTGTTGTTATCCTTTGTTATTTATTACCGTGTATATATGCATGTAGACTTTTTAAACCGTGCACGCGCTGTGATATATACTATGAACGGGCATCAGATGATTGCAGATCTTTTGTGCTTTGTCGTCAAGGGAGGCCATTTCCCTGGTTTCGATGTAGTGCTGGATTAGTTTGGTCGACCAGGTTAAAGGCGTGTGTTTGGACGTACACAGATCCTACAGATTGTCTTAATTTGAAGACATCAAAAGGCCCAAGCACAAAGAAACCCAAGCCCACCTCAAAACCGCGATTCACGAGAAAACCAACAACTGCCAGAACCACAGAAAGAGAGCGAACATTAAAACCGACAACTCCTACAGCAAGATGGAGAACACCTAAACCTAAATATGTGCGGGATGGAAGTAAGTATTTAATTGGACATTTATCGAAATGTATAAATTTGAAGCTTGAAAGTTGTGATACATGTATTTGGGTCAAATCCGAAATGTATAAATTAAATGCTTGATAGATTAAATCAGAAATCTATAAGTTGAATGCTTGAAGGTTGTGATAGCTGGGTCAAATCAGAAATGCATAAATTTGATGCTTGAAAGTTGTGACAGTTAGGTCAAATTAGAAATGTATAAATTTGATTCTTGAAAGTTGTGATAGTTGGGTCAAATTAGAAATGTATAAATTGGATGTTTGAAAGTTGCGACAGTTTAGTCAAATCAGAAATGGTGATGCAATTGACTTTTTATTGTTACTTTTCTATATTTTCAAGGTTATATAATCTTGGTCGCCAATTTGTTACTCAATCTGAAATTTAAATATATCAACAATAGAACAAAACAATTATAAAATAATGAATTTCAATGGAAACGAAAGGAATGATAGTTCTGCATTAGATCTTGTTGATCAGGGGTGGGAACTACGTTAGAATTTTAACTTCAAAGCACTAATTAAACAAAAATGTTACCTAAAATTTGGACAAAATATGACCAGATGCTCTTTATGTATATCGCACTCGGTACCAGCAAATGAAAAGGTTTACATGCAGTTGTTTTTTGTCGTCAACCACTTTCCAGGATGATAACTCTTGATTGATGGATTCACATTAACAAGTTGGTCATTTACTTAACAAAATGATCGACGTTTTCAAAGCTAATTAATGTGGCGAGCTGTTGCTTTGTTCCACAGCAACACATGGTAATTAGTCTATAAAGTGTTCTTGCTAAAGGTAAGGAGCGATTTTTCGGTTGCCGATCATTTCAATCAAAAATTGGTTGCCATTAGTTGATACCAGCTATATAATTCGATTAACGGTTTACGGTAATCGTTAATCCCTGCAAAGCTCTCTAACAGCTATGTCAACCTCGAACATCCTTACTACTTAGGGAATTAGCTCATAGCTAGAATGCTCCTGATTCGATCCTGACAATGAGAAAATACTTAAGAGATCCAATGCCAGTCGGAATTCAAAGTACAGAGGATGGAGATATTCACCTCAGAACGATCTATACCAAGTCGTGACGAGGTTCTAAACTCTATTCCGTTCAACGTTAATTTTAGTGTAGGAAATAAACATAAAGTTTGTAATGAATAAAGAAAACATAATATTTAGTGGGCTTTAAATTCGTTGGTCGTAAATCGTATTAAGTCTGGTTAAACGTCACTGTAACATTATGAATAAAGGAAACATAATATTTAGTGGGCTTTAAATTCGTTGGTCGTAAATCTTATTAAGTCTGGTTAAACGTCACTGTAACATTATCTAAAGAATGTAAAAACAAGAGGACGTTAAAAGAAAATACACTTTTTAATAGCTGGGGGTTAATATGTTACGATTTTGTATAAAACGGGTGATGAGGTTAAAGTCATAAATGGAAAATATTTGACATTTCCGAATCATCAAAGAAAATCTACATATCTTTTCACCTAAAATTTACACGTTAAAATTGCTATAAAAACACTAAAAATAAACAAACAAGGTCAAAAACGAACATAAGGATTGTCATTTATTGGTTTGCTGCCTAATATAATCATTCTAAATACTTGGCGGTAAATTGTGACTTTTGAGTTTGTTAGCAGACGGTATTAAGGGTATTTTGCCGCCAGCAAAGAAACAATTGTATAAGTAAAAGAACTGTGGGGAAACTGACAAGTCAACTGTTGACAAATATGTTAACACGTTAGTTTTACCATATACCTACATTTGAGCAATGAATGGTAAACATTGAATATAATTGAGCTTTTGTTTGGGAGAAGGTGTTTTCCATAAAGGGTGAGTGGTCTCATAGTTTTACACATTTTTTAACCAGGACTTGACAACAATTTTGCAAGTAAACAATGGGAAATGACATCGATGTGTTAAGTTATAATCATAATTTCAACATATGTTTACGTGAGGGTGGTAAGTATGTTTGCCCTGAGAAGTTCTACGTGTCTTTTTATTCTTCAAAACTGGAATAAATTCTGCTAAAAGAAATTTGAGATGTATTGATGAATAATCTAGAGGTCACAATTTTTATATTATTTTGATGAAACTTAAAATATATGTGTTATATCACAAAGATCTCGGACCGTGGAAAACGGATCGTAACTTACCGTTAAAATTGTCCTTTTGCCAACGATGTTGCACGGCCTGGATGCCGGTCAGGAAGAAATTTTCTTCAGCCACCCTAAAAAACGTCGTTACTAGTAAAATGACGACTGGCTAGTTCTTTTTTTTTATTTTTGGAAACCGGTGGAAGTCAAATCGAGCGAATAAGGTCGATGGTCCATGAGTTCGAATCCTCAATCATATATTGCTGACACGGCAATCATCGATTTATGATCAGGAGCATTGTCTTGGTTAAACAGGGCGATTTTAGTGAGCATTCCAAATCGCTTAGCTTTGATAGCTTCACGCAACTGACTCAGTAGATCAGCAGAAGGTCTTCCATTGATTGTTTGACCTTTTTCAAGATAGTCAATCAGGAAAATACCCTTGAAATCCCAAAAGACTGAAGTTATCCCTTTCTGGCAGACTTGGCTTTTCGGGTGGCTCTCTCGATCTGCAACGCTTAAATTCCACAACCCAGTTCTTTACTGTAGAAAGTGGATGTATCTGTGTTGGGGTTAGTCCTTTCTGTTGCAGGTACTTGATGGCTGCCCTATAGCCGGGTTTGTCCAGTTCTAGTGATTCCGATGGGTAGGTTCACAAGATCGTCTTGTACGAAGATAATAATAACAAGTTGCGGTTTTTATGTCTATAATTCATTTAATGATTGTACTTGCTGGTGGCAAGCTTTTTTTCAACCAAATTGATAGACCCTTTGCGGGCTTAGAACTTTTCAGCCAGCCCTCATACCAAGGTTGTGGACCATCTAGAGGACACAATTTTAGATGAAACTTCGATTTTGGTGGGCATGGACCCTACCTTTTACACAAAATGGCTATATTTACGAAGGGTGCTCCTATAAAATATACACTAGGCTTGGACATGCAAACTTGCATATACATGTATATTTGATCAAACCCAAATTGGGAAATGATTCATATTTTTACTTACTATTTGCAATAATATTCAGTATACTTCACAAGTTTTACCTTCTGTAAACGCTGCGACAATTTGTTTTTGTGGTTCAACGTTTGTTCATTGGCTGTATTTTCAAGTAATTGTATTTACGCTTGGGGATGAATGAATTAGGTCTAGTTTATGTCTTATAAAGGACGTATTAAGATTATTAAGTATCATGAGTATAGTGTTAACAAGATTTTAATAATGACATCCATCTTATTAACCTTCAAACACCATACAAAACAGAACTCTGCCTAAGTCCAAAGTAGAGAGATTGAGTATTAAGAATGGCATTGACAAACATGTTCTGAGAATCAAAACTTCATGTAAGAACGTGTTTAAGGCTCTGCCGAAGTGATAAACTCTACTTTGCATTACCCAATGCGGTTTTCGTAGAATGATATTGATGTTAGCTGAAAGTAATAGTTCATATAGTAAGCACAGGAGAACCGTAAAACAAAACCAATAAGACAAACCTGCGGACAAGACAAACTGCATAGATATTGTAAGAAATAAATAACAAATATATGTTATTAAATGGGGTTTAATGTTCACTCGACACCAACAAGGTCATTAGCAATGGTAGGAAACCGGAAGGCAGTACACATTAAATTGCCGCGAATACCGAATGGATCAATAAATACATTATACATCTTAATGAAGCGCCATTGTTCTTATTTAATACCAAAACACAACTAGGAAAAATAACGTTTTCTAGGATCGTTTGTGTTTAAACACTATAGCACTTTATCACACAGTTATTTGCTTTTTAAGCCACTTTAAGAAAAAAAAAAGGGGTTTTAAAATGTAATGGTTTTTTAAAATATATCTCTGGATGTGTTTATCTACACCGTTTCTGGGATAATTTGTCACGTATATCTCGAAAACTGCAGACGACACTGTTGGCAATTAGTTCTATTTGCTTAAGTTATTTCTATTTGATTCGTAAACAAGGGCTTGCCCCATTCTAGTCTTCAATGACAGTCAATAGTTAAAGATTTTTATTTGTGTCCATTTAAGTCAAATTAGTGTAGTAATAAGTGGGATCTCCCTAATGATGTTACATAAAATGAAATCCAAACTGAATCTAAAATAACGAATCCGTATATTTTTCCGAATTCAGTCTGAAACAACTATTCCGAATCGGGTTATTCGCAGTCAAACTTTGAGTGTGGCGCTCTTGATTCAGATCAAAGGATTTACCGGAGCCGAATAACTTTGCGCACATGTTCACTTCTACTTTTATCGCTTGGGTGGAAACGTGTGTATTCTCGGGGCCGATATTCTGCAAATAAATAAAAAATTTGATATTGCAAACACAAATCGGTTGAGGTATAGCCTACATAGCCATAGCCCTATCTCACTGAAACATATACTACGGTAAGATAGCGAGTTAAAAATCCAAATACAAATCTATGGTGTGTTCAGATCACGGCTGTTCATTTAAGGCCTAGAAATCGTGCCTGGCGCAACAGAAGATCACGAATACGAATGGCGGGCGCATCCATCTTGTATATGAATGCCCTTCACTTCTGCTAGCTATGCGCATTAAGTGTGGCATATTTCAATTTGAATCCAATCTTAATGTGACGCACCGCTTTTAATCCGAGACAAAGCAATCCGAATTCCGGGGGCCGGTTTCCGGAATTCGCATTGAATGCGCATGTAGTGTGAGATTCAAAAATTCCCCATTCGTGATCAGTTTTTTTTATCTCTAATGTGATTAATGCAGAATATATATCTCAACATGGCATTCCAATTCCATTACAGAGATGAGATTATGGTAATTATATGATTTGTTAAGATTGGTAGGTTGTTGATAATTTTAGTCCGTGGATTAATGGATCGGTTTGTTAAATCTTGTTTCAATAAGAAACTAAGTGTGACAACTATCAAATTCAAGAGACAACACGATGTGAAACACGTCTATACTGAAACAACGGTCAGTCTTGTTTGCTCACTGGCGCCTCGGATATAACCAACTGACATCGGTATGGATCTAGTCTGCGTATAGTCAAGTAGTAAACCACAATTGTGAAATTGTTTGCAAAATGATCTGATTTCTCTTTGCACACCATGAGGTAAGGTTGTCGTATTTAAATTGTCCTTAGGAAACAAAGCGTCATCGTTCAGATATACTTATCTGGAATTATGAATTGAAAAATGAATAAACTGGCTTAGGGTCAGACTTAAGATATCAGTTATTTATATTGACTAACCTTCTAGGCGGTCAACAGTCAAGAAATGTGTATGCTGTTAATGATCCGGAGATCTAAATATGTGCCGGTTAAGCACTTTGAGGTGTCCAAAGGACTCAAAATCTCCCTTTGAAAAATCAGAAAGGCTTCCCCGATATAAATTTCATTCTGGATATCAATCATATTGACCGTAAAAATTAAATTGTGTAAAGCTCGATTTCTATATCACATAAAAGTTATTACGAACGATTTGCGATACAGACAAACAAAAAATAATGTGATCCGGAAAAGGTGCAAACCATTGTATATTCTCAAGGTTTATTATCATGTTTCATTTTAATGAGCTGCAGGCAATGTTTTCAGTTGTACAGGAAAGGTCTTTAGATACAATTTTCAAACAATCATTAGATTTAAAAAAATGAAAACAGCAAATGATCCTAAAACTGTCACGTAACACAATGATTAGTACACGTTCAGGTTTAGCTCTGGACAACCTTCACAACCTACGAATATAAGAGTCGTTTTATAGGAGTTGATCATGTGTGCGATAGGGACAATTAGAGACTTTAATTTTATGGAAGTATTAAAATCATCCTAATTAATATAATCTTTTTCGTTATATCAACAGATCTTAACCTTATAAACTTGTTTAACAAAAAAATGGTCTAGAAAGAAAGGAGCGAAAATCTACCCGTTCTAATGCTCTTAAAATGATAAGCGAGTTTTAAGTCGGTGGATGTGTTAACGACTAGTTTATAGTTATGTGAAGTTCATGATGAGACTTAAATATGGGATGTAGTCGTTTGAATGTAAAGCTAACAAACGGGACTTGTTTGACAATGTTATATTATCATAGCTATGTTGGTCTATTATCGACATGTTTTGTAGTATTATGTTGTTTTGTGAGAGTAACAAACGCTTTCTTTATAGAGACGTGCGGTATCAAGAGTTCGTTGAACATAGTTGGTGGAAGAGCAGCTAACGCAGGAGAGTGGCCATGGCAAGCATCGTTGCAGATCAGAGATAAATATACGAGAGATTATCAACATTTCTGTGGAGCCGTGTTAATAGCTGAATATTGGGTAGCGACAGCCGCACATTGTGTCTATGGGTAAGCTTGGGATTGGTCTTTATTAATATTTATTAGTATATTACAAAATATATTTTCCAAGGATGATAAGATAAGCAACTAATTTACGATGATTACTAACTTCTTGGACGAAACGTCTGGTCATCCACCACTAACTCTGGCACGACTCTTGGAGAAAAGTTCAGAGCTACAGCCATCGCTTCTTTTCGATAAATCATCGCGATTTGCATAGACATATTGAAATAATATGTCCCAAATATCAACTTTATCGTAGAGCCATATCTAACAGCCAAAGTACAAAACATTTCAGAATCCTGTTACGATCCATTTTTGCTCTTCGGTCCCAGTAGTCCCCTACAGCTTATATTAAGTATGCCAACATTACTGTACATCGTACAATTTGCTAGAAACTTTAATTTAAATGTATTTTACCTACAGAAAACGACAGAGCACATTGTCCGTTTTATTTGGAGCTCATCATCTCAATTCTTTAAATGGACAAGAAGTCAGGCTTGGTATTAGTTCTATCATCACGGTAAGATATTTATTAGGAATGGTTTGCTAATGGGTCAGGAAGATGTAGATATCATGGTGACAGACATTTCTACTTTGCCACTATGACCATCGTCTCCAGTGGCGTATGCATGATTTCCAAAAAGAGGGCTACAATATCTGTCAACTTCAGTATTGACATTACAGGGGGATTTGGGAATGATTAAATCAGCTATTATGCGTGCATTTTCATTTGAAGATGTCGGGGTCATAGACACCCCACGCACCTCAGTCGTGAATTTATTAGCCATCTTTAAGTATTATTTTTTGCCAATTTTAATTGCTACAACTACCTCCTTTGGTGCATAATTTCTGGAAGTCATTATGCATTTGCCCGAATTTCTCCATATTCCCGAAGCAAAATTAGTGGCCCGAGAAATCCCTCTCTTGTCATTGCTGTATTGAGACTGAAAATGTGAGTCTTGACGGAGCGTGTCCATTCTGATCGTCGAATCACATATCTCCTGAGTAAAATTTAGGAAATTTTGATGACTTAACCGGGATGACATCTTTTAAAAAGAAGTCCTAGTGTATGTTAGTGCTGATTTGAAGAAAGATTTTACCCTTGGATGCATCGGGAACAAACATCGATACTCGCATTGGTAAATTTGGAAGTCGCTATTGGCACGAAAATTCTTTGACTCAAATCTCCGGTATAAATTCTATAAACGTGTACCAATTAGTACTGCCTACCTTTAAATATTCGATAATATTTGTCCATTTTTGTGAAGAAAATCCATGAATTATTTATTTTATCAAAAAAAGCTCATGTCGTATTACTATCCAGTTTGTTGAAACACAATACGTAACATGACAGCCCTTCACTTTGATCGGCTGTGTGGTCCCAGAGATGATAAAAAGATTCCACATGCGCGGCGATTACCAAAATGTTTATATTGTAGCTATTTTGGATAGCCTCGTTTATCGCACATTTAGTTTCTCTGCAATATACTGTTATATACTGGTTAATTTGGATACATTTCGCGTAATGTAGCCGCGTTTGTCACCAGACACTTTACGGTAACATATTTAGAGCTCTGGTTAATTCCGATTTATTTTGTTACGTCGTTATGTACTGGTTGTAGTTTGGACTGTTAACCAGTCATAATTTGGGACAGAAATTTGCGCTGAGTATGGCAATGTTTGAGTGGGATTAGGTCTAATCAAACGAAAGACTGCGAGGGGTATCGAATTTCTCAAACATTCAGAATTGGCTCACAATTATGGTACAGTTATTAAGAATTATGTAGGCAGCGTATGGTGAACCCAGAGTATGTCGTAGAAAATACATACATAGAAACCCAACCTTTGATCATGGTATGGCCGTCAAAATTATGCTAATTTATATAATACAATTCATAAAATTTATTATATATTTATTTACCGAGTAAGTGATATTTCTTTCAGCATCCCTATTATGTAGACTCTGGTAATTACCCATGTGATCTGGCTTTATTACGGTTAAGTGATCCTGTAGAGTTAGCTGATGGGTTAGTACGTGAAGTATGTCTGCCAGACGCTGAGGATGAAGTTATTGGAGATTGTTGGGTCACCGGATGGGGAGTGACGTTAGGTAGGTAGTGTTGGCAAATGTGCGAATCCAGGAGAATTCTGCCTTAAGCGTTCCTATTGTTACTTAATAGCACACCATTAGCATATTGGTTCTAAATGTTAAAGTTAGTATTTTTGGGGATATTTTGTTATTTCATTGCTTTATCTTTTACTACTATATATTTTGCTTCTATACCTATAAAGGTTTCAACATCTCAATGTATTTAGAGGCTCTGATACAGAGACTCTTACTTTAAGTGTCAAAATGCTTCTTGACACTAAGACTGAAGATGGTTTAACTTTTATCTAGTCCCTCGTAAAACTAAAATCTACGAATCTAAATACACTTTACATTTAAATCTGTCACCTCAAACACCATGAACTTATGCTATGTTTTGAAGGTTATATTAGCTAATTATTTTGACGATTTTAATTCGTTTCAACTCGACTTGGTCACGTTTTGATTCATTTCCCTCAAATATTGTCACATCTTTGTGTGTGTGTGTGTTTAAGTTCATATCGGCATTTCGCCTGTTATTAAGGTCGTTCGCAGCTATGACCATCATGTGCTTAGTCATTTCATCTTATACAGGTACATTTATTGTCTGTCAGTGTCATTTTCTTACAACGTCACCCAAACGTGCATTTGAAGCACATACGAACAAGTACAACCAGGGTCACCAGTATTCACATAACTTTGTCATGCTTCAGGCTGTCTGCCTCTTACTCGAAGATAACTTATAATAACACGGATATTATTGCGTAAATTTTGAAGATAAAAAGTAGATACAGATATGACATTTAGTAAATATCAATTTAAAATAGGAAACACCCAAAACTCATTTACGAGATTCTCGTGTTTAGGTTAAGTTCTTCCCCAATCGCAACATGGAAACATAGAGCACATATAAACACTCGATGGTTTCAGGCAAAGTTCTTTATTCTGGTGTCATTGAGTCAACTGGCGGAGTTTCGATTCCCCGGTTGTACGTGACAAGGAGTAGAGTCGCCTGTCCAACCTCGTGGGGTTTCTCCGGGTCCTCCGGTTTCCTCCCACTGCTAAAGACCCCAACGCGGAAGCGAATTATTGAAATAAAATTGAACCACGTGTTAGTCCCGAAATGACCTAGTTTGTGTCGAGTGTACGTTAAACCCATTTTTCTCTCTTTCTCTTTTTATTCTGGGCGAAATTATGAATGTTTGAAGTCTGACAAGAAATAGACATAATTAGCAGAGGGAAACTCAGCCCACAGTTCATTTTCTTAATTGCCAAGTACCGTTGACATGATAATGTAGGAAATATCGATTGCCCTGTCCTTCATCGGCGGTATCCGGTCATATTAGCGTTTAACGCAGATGTGGTGAGCATTGCCTAACCCACTCAATATCTAAATCATATTGTAAAGTGTTAAGGTACCAATATTTTTCATTTATTACAAGAGCATTGTTTGTTACAGAGGATGAGGGTGATTACTTACAAGAATTAAAGAGTGATGTAGTTAATAATACCCACTGTAAAGATCTATGGAGAGGTTATATTAGAGATGATCATGTTTGTGTTGGTTTAGGCAATACCGGGGCCTGTAGGGTAAGTATTTTACACCTTTACAATATGGGTGTTTAGTCGCATGATAGTTATTGGCGGGCTCATTCAGTACACACTATTAACAAATGTTAACGTTACAGACGGCTCATAATAGTGTAATGACTGGAAGTTCCCTTTTTATACGCCCAAATTTTCATGTGTGCGTAATATGTCGACACCCATGTTCGGACGTTCGTTCAAATGGTTGTGGGGATATTGAAGAGGTCACAATATTTATCCGAAGATCTTGGATGGGTAAGATTCTGGCACGACCCGGAATATTGTCGCTTATTGTACGAAAATCACCTTTATCACCTTGTGAATTTGATCGCGGCTCAAGTTTTTAACATACTTTTATTTCATATTTGTTGTGAAGCATTTGGGTTTATGAGTACGAATCCTATCGATATACGGCGTTCCACAACCATCTGTTCTGGAGTTACCAAGCTTTGTTGAAACCCTTGTGAACGCGATAGAGGCTACACTTTTAAACTGTTTTATATTACAAATTTGGTGTGAAACAATGGGGTCGGGAGAGAACAAACCCTGTCGATAATTTAGCATTCCATAATCTTCTATCGCGGACTACAGTTTTAATGATTTTTTTATTTCAAATTCGATGTGAAGTACTGGGGCAATGAGAGGATGAGCTATTCCCCGCCCATCTTTTGTAAAATGTGAGCGTAACTATAGCTTGCATGGCAACCTCGTGTTTTTTGTTGTTTTTTTAAATCAAAATTCAACCCAGGTTTTCACTAATCTCATAAATTTATGAACTATACAATTCTTTTCAGGGTGATTCCGGTGGACCTCTTGTTTGTAGAAAAAATGGCAGATACCAGTTGGCGGGAATAACCTCATGGGGAGAAGAGACTTGTACCAAGAAAGGATACCCTAATATTTTTACTCGTGTCTCGGCATTTGTTGAATGGATAAATCATACAATGGGAGCCAACCCTCTATAAAGATTTGGTTGATACTGGTCCTACTAATCACCGACAAGGGTGTTTTTGGTCAATAGTGCCCACAATTTCACATATTATCCATAATTTTTTTTTTTATGAAATTATTTAAATTTTGGATATGATGTGTAAAATATATAATATGGGCAATATTGACCAAAAAACCCCTCTTGTCGGTGATTACAGATTAGTAGGACCGCTGCTGACATATTCTGGTTTAAAGTTACATTATAAGCATATCATTTAGTGACATACATAATATAGTTTAAGGTAAAAACAAAATATCTGCCTAAATAAGCCAGGAAACCTTTAAGAACTTTGTTCTCGTTAATTTGATATGCTTGCCTTTCATTATTGGAAACAGAAAAACAAATTACACAAAATCGCTAATGCTACAAGACACAACTTCCCCATAATGTGCGCTTGGCTGATCATAGCTGGGCTTTTAAAAAAATTAAAAAATATATATTGTGGGCCATAATAGCAAAAAAATGAGCGGTTTTGTGTCATCATTCGAAAAGCGGTATTGTGTCAAGTCATCACTAATTAAGCGGCCTTTTGTTGCTGAAGAGAATCGGTATGAATGTACTTGCGTACAAGCTTGCAATTTCATTACTTCACTTCTTTTTTTTTATAAAAAAATCCAACAAACTTTGTCCATTTAATATTAAGAAATTGTGTCTATTTCATTGAGATTGAATACAATGCATAATAAAACTCGGTGATCACGTAACATATTCGATAGTTCTCCTGTAAATATCGGATATGTTCGTAAAGTTTAACGGGTACCGGTATACCTCCGATTAAAATCTCTTTTACTAACTCAAATACAAACTGTACAAGCTAAGGCAAACATTAAAAATTTGAATAAATATTTATTTGTTTTTAAACAAACACAGAACAATATTGCATTGATTTTTTTATTGACAGATTGCAACAAGTTGTTTTTAAAAAATTCCATTTATTTATTGTTTTAATATTTTCCCAAACACATGACAGTGGCGACTAGGGCGAGTGCCGATACCTTGGGCTGGCCCCGATCCTATGGTTCGAACGATATGCTGATATTTAATTCGCCTGATGCCAGTTGGAATATGGCGTTGGGCCATAATTAATTGAAAGTAGTGTATACTTACTAAGATATAAACATTGGGCCAGAAATCATTTTCTATATATAATTCTGGATCATTTTGGATGTAACAACCATTTTTATAGATTCCCGCTGCAGCGATTACATATATTTTTTGGAATCCGGTTGAAATTGACAGACTTTACAGTAAGTAAAAAGTGTTAAAGAAATCCCAATGCTGTTGAACTACAGAAACACGGTTGCGTCCACATCACCTTAGTTTTAATATTTTATACTGCATGTGAATTTCTTTGTTTTAAATTATTAGTTTGACAATATAGAGGCTATTAGAGCTATTCAGTGTACATAATTGTATTTTATATATTCAAATTTATGTGATAATAAATTTATGAGCAGGGTAATTAAAATTTCGTTTCTTTTGGGGGTTTTATTTTTTTTTTAAATTTTAATTATCAACAAGTATGGGCCAGGGACCGAGTATGGCGTCATCGCCATCATCTTAGAATTGTGACGTGATATAGAATCGATGTCTGTCTATTGATGCGCAATTGTCCAAGGAACAAGAATGACAAGTTACTGGAAATGGTGGAGTCTTGTGCTTTTTTCACCCCCAAGAAGAACAAGATGAGGACCGGTTCCTGATCAAAAAATGTTATAAACGGTATCTAAATAATTAAGTTTTTAGTTAAATTGTAAACACGTGTATAGATTATTACATAGTCTATGTAAATTAATTGCAATGAGTTTTATTTTTAAAAACAGACTGAAATAAAATTTTGTCTCTTCATAATACATTATTGTTATATTGATTTACGAAGCCTCTAACGCCGCTCTTGTTAAGATGGCGATTATATGAGACAAATATCCGAAAATGTCTGAATTTTCGCCTTCAAGGAGCCCGTACATCTTTCCGGAGTGCTGGATAATACGCAAGACTGGACCATATAGGCAACGTACCGGACTCCATAGACGGGGGTCCCTTCGGCACTTTTTAACAGGATGCCGGCTTCCCAATGTTTTAAGTTTATGTATGAAAGATTCGATTCGATTGTGAAGTATACCATTATTAGGGTCGATCTTGTCACATTAATACAAAATATTCCAATAAGTCACACTTAAAGAGTTGTCTGATTTTCGCGGTCATTTGTTTATCGATTTCTTGGACAAATCCGCCACTACCTCCATGGAATAAAAGCCCTAATTAAATTCTGCGAATTGTGTCCATTAAAATCGATATTTTATAAATTTGATATTCATTGTTTAAAGATCATTTTCCAAGAACCACCTTGATACTCTAACGATAGGTCAAGCACGTGGTTAGAGTTTTTCTGAGGTTTTATACACGTTATTATATATTGAGACAAAGAAGGTAACAGTAAGAAAAGAAAAAAAAAACAATTAAACATTTTGAATTCCTCATTTAACAAGCAGAAATTCTGTTGTGCCTCCTTCCCATGATGCCCTAAGCATTTAGTAATATTCTATTTCAATAATTTGCATGCAATTAAAGTTCTTCAGCCATTGGAGGAAACCGGACAAAACCCTTAAGGTTGGGCAGGCGACCCCACTCGGAATCATGTAAAAGCTTGGGATGAAAACCATGCCACTTGACTCAATTATAAGTCTTCAGCCATTGGAGGAAACCCTCGAGGTTGGGCAGACGACCCCACTTGGTATCATGTACAAGCTTGGGATGAAAACCATGCCACTTGACTCAATGACAGGCCTCATGATTTAAAGCAGGAGTCTTATTTACACTGCAGCCTGTTGTGTCGACCTTTGTGATGTTCACATGAACTACAGACTTTATACGAACCCTGAAACAATGATCAATCATTTCAAGGTCTATTCTGAGTAGTGAAACATTGAATTAAATCAGACCTTAAAATGCTTAAAATCCACACAAATACAGTATACAATATTTACATTTTATTGTGATCCAACTTGAGTTACATGTTTGAGTACATCTTCACATTTTATTACACAAATGAGATTTGATATGATAACTAGTTTAAAATAATTTAGTGTTTGGTATGAAAATTAAAACAAATATAATAACAAGGGTAAACATGCATACTATCTTCTAAACATTTTGTAACTTGCTAAGAAAAAAAATACAAAAATATGTAAATAATAAGAAAATGTTGGAAACATGAAATCTCCAAGTCAAACCATTTTTTTCATACATCTCAACAAGTATATATGGAACTGTAATAAACTAATCAACGATTACAAACATGGCAGCTGGAAACTTACAACAGTTTGAAATCATTCACTCTTCATGCATGAAGCTTGCAGTAGGGCAGTTTCTACAGATTAATGAAATGAAATCTTGTTCAACTCCTACTTTTATGTGCCAATTAGGTTAATGAAGATGTGACGTTTTTTTAAAGGAGAGTGAGCCAACCTTTGGCAGTTGTAGTTTGTTATTATCCAAGGGGCGTAACTCTATTTAATATGATTGACAATAACTAAATTGAAAGGAAAATAAAATTGTATCAAGGCACAAATATTTGGAAACTAACATATTTTTTTTTTTTTCTGGAATTTTGCCAATTAACAAATATCTTCATGTCTAGATTTTTGTTCATGCTGATTATGGAACATGCCATAATTAAGTTTATGGGCTTTTGGCATAATTTTACTGGTCCTCATTAGCTTGTTTCCATCTCTTCTGTCTTCTGTTCCTCTATTTCCGCTTTCTTTTCATCTTCTGTTAAAAAAATAGAAATTTAGTCATTATTACACAATATTGTTTTACCCAAACATGAAGTTACACGAACAGATATTCATTGACATCCCTTACAAAAGGGAAATGGTTTATTAAATCTATTCAGTCCAGGAATAGGTGGCATAGTGGTCTAAGAGTGCAAAGCAGATGATGTGTGGGGTCCGATGGTCAGTCAAATGTTTTGAATAGATGGAAATGAAATTGAGTGACACAGATTCGAGTCTTGTCAAAGGTTTGCCATCCATGATAACAGCTGTAGCATTAAAAATACATTAGTTAAGAGTTTTATAAAGAGTTGGCCATTCTTGCTATAATAATTCAAAAATTACTTTGTTCTGAAGGAATTGTCACTGTTGGAAGTTTGGAATAGAAATAGGCACCAATTGTGCCTGCACCATCTATTCTTGATTATCAAGTAACATACTGAATTACTATGGTAGCCTCGCTTGACAGGTCTTTCATCACCAGTTTCCGGTACCGACATCAGCGACTAACGGTAAATGTTAGCTTGGTCCGCCATTTATTGATTTTTTTCTAATTGGAAGACTGTTTAAATCCAAACTGTATCCAAGCCATCCGTGGGTCTACAAAGTTGATTTTGAGCTTGTCGTGTAAATAAAGGTCTAATTAATAATTTCTATAACATCTAACACCTAAATAAAGTCTTGCAATAGGCAGATTTAGCTCTTGCATAATGTATGTTTAAGCAGAATTTTTCAGCTATGGTGCCTGGTTGAGATGGTATCATATTCAATTGACAAATAAAGAAAAAAAACAGAAACAGGGTTTAACACCCACTGAACAAAAAAAAATAGGTCATTTCAGGACTAACAAATAGTATATTTTTATTTCGATAATTTGATTGTGCGTAGGGGTCTTTAGCAGTGGGAGGAAACCTGGGAGACCCACAGAAAACCCACAAGCTTAGGTAGGCGACCTTACATCTTACATCTACTTTCTTAAACACGTCTTCTAGTGATCGTTATCATCACAAACAATTTAACTTACCATCCAAAATAGCCTGAAGTTCATGGATAGCTGTTATTAACACTAAAAACTGTTTACGACGAGAATCCAACTGAATAATAAAAGACATTTCTAGTCAAAAATGAAATTTAAACAAAAACTGTATCAAAATCAAATTTAAAATAGTTTAAAATGTTTCTTTATAAATTCTCTAATTTTTTAGCCATTGTGATTAGTTCAGTCAAAAAGTATATTCATGAAATGAGCTGAATAAAAGGTCAGTAGGTTAGGTGAATTAAACAAAAGATTTTTTAAAATACAATTAATCTTTAATAGCACTGAAATTCAAGGTTTATAAATATACTCTGCCTGGGAAGTTGGCACTTATCCTGGACAAAGTAGAATCAGGTGTTTCAGTAGAGTATGGTCTAATTTTAAATAGACTACAAGATGTAATTCTAGAATATTACTGTACCTTTTCTTCTAATTTCTGTTTTCTATCCTTAAATGTCTTCAGTTCTTGATCTAGACTTTCTAATTGCCTACAAAAACACATTACAATTACAAAGTTTTTTTTTAAAAAAAAAAACACATCTTGAAATAAATGTTTTTATATAATTCCTTAAACAAGAAAGTAATCTCTTTTTTTATATAATACTGTAAAACAATATTTAAATTATTTTATATAACTGTAAAAAAACAGAAATTTTATTGTACATCTAAAACTTTGAAACAAGAAATATATGTTGTATTAATACTTTGACACAAGAAAATAATGTATTAAATGTTGTATTAATACTTTAATACTTCTAAGAAAGAAATAAGTGTAAATTAAATGTCTTTAATACTGCAATATATTTTACATTATTGTTTCATTGTTCCACATTGTGTATATATATCTTCACTGTACTATGGTTGTCCTTCTTTTCTTAATAAAGACGAGAGAACTGTCATTGAAACATCACCAGAAATAAACATCTAGGTAACTTGTATACCATATAAATGTGTCATCTCTGTAAGTGCTAGGAATCAAACCTGGGTCATTCTAGTTGCTATACCAATGCCCTGAATGCTCAACTAACTCGACCCCTGAACATTTTGGCAAATTTATCTTGACCTCCTTTAGGTTACATAACTTTCATGAGGTATTAGTTTCTTGGCTTACCCATAGTAGATACCAGTACTAAATATGCTATAATGAAATAGACATTAAACTAAATAAATGAATAATGTATTAAAATAATAATAAACATACTTGGTTGTAGCTTGTCTATCAGGATGAGTGTGTATAACTTTAGCCAGAGCATCATATTCTGTTACAAATAAAACAATATAATATGTGATAAGGATTTCACAAGTTACATCATGTACAAGTATTTTAAACCATCAACAGTTTCTATAAAGCATGTTATAAAGATGTGTAATAGTATATTACCTAACACCACAATATAATTACATAAATTCCTCATGTCCATGAATGTGTTGTGTTGACATCAGGTAATTATTATTTCTTACTGTTAAGCCTTAGGCCTACATGTAACATGAGAGAACAAAAAGATTTCACTCCACATGTCCTATTCTCCCTCAAATTCCTAGTTAGCCTTAGGCCCACATATATCATGTTGTGGGGGGTGTGTGTGAGGGGGGGGGGGGAGAGAGAGAGAGTTCTCTCTACAGCTGGGTTTGGTCCTATTCTCTGTCCAATTCCTACTTAATATTCTAGTAATCTTTGGAACAAAATATTGCTTAACCCTTTAGCACTTTAGTACCTGTAAATACTGCCTACCCTGCTTCCTTGAAGAAAATAGACCATGACAGCCGCCACCCTTAAACCCTCTGTGTATTGTTCAACCGTACATACTAGTTTTTCGGGGAGCTCGAAGCTATTAAATTAACTCCAGCACAGCGGCGGCGCCAGCAACCGGTGGTTGGAGGGGCAAAGCTGGGCAAAGTCCAAGGTTAAGGGGGCAAAGGCACGAGCTTAAACTTGGGGTAAGGGGGCCTCCCCCAGACATTTTTGAAAAACAGGCTGCCAAAATGCAGTCTGCTAGTATTTCAAGCACTGATGTTGAGATAATGTGTCAAACAAACGGACGTGCGAACCTCGACGAAGCCCAAAAACGAGCGCCAAAGTAGGGAGTAATTACGGAGGGTATAGGGGACCTTCCCCAGAATAATAGACTGCCGGAAATGCTATCTGACAGTATTCAGGCACCGGTTGTCGAGATAAATAGAGCTGTTCACTAGTTATCCAACCCCAGAGAGGAAAGTGTCAAATGAACAGACTTGCGAACCTCAACAAAGCCCCTGAAAATTTGATCGTCAAGATAAATAGAGCTTACAAGATACCGCCTCTCGCCAAATCACTAGTTTTTCCGACCAGAGCAGAAAGTTTGAAACAAACCAAGTGAGTGAATCAAAGTGAATAGACTGCCAGAAATGCAGCCTGGCAGTATTTCAGACACTGGTCGTCGAGATAAATAGAGCTGACCAGATACTGTTCGTCACTAAATCACCAGCTTATCCGAACAGAGAGGGAGGTGTCAAAGGAACGGAGTTGAGTGTAACAAGTGGATGCATATTCTCGCCGCGTTGAACCTATACCTAAAACCTTTTTCTTATTTTCTAAAATGCCCCCCCCCCCCTGGCGTTGCCACTGCTCCAGCAGTTTGGGTTCTAGTTATAGGTACATACTAGTTATTCGGTGAGTCCAAAGCTATTCACTTGACTCTTTTTATACCTTTTCTTCGGTCTACCATTAGGCCTCTATGGCTTGTTGACCACTCTAATTATATCTGGCACTAACAGGTTTGCGCATGTCTGAACTGAACATGTCATATAAAAAATTTTTTTACTCAAAAGTGTTTGGTCTACTAAATATAATGAAGAACTGTACTAATAGCAGCTTGGGTTGAATTTTATTTCGTCATTTTTTCCAGAATTGATTAAGGTGTGACTTGAATTGGTTTAGGGTTTTAGCATTGACAATATAGAAAGGTAATGAGTTCCAGTCATTGATGACTGACTGAGAAATTGTTTTTTTGTATATACAATCTAGAATGACGTTTTTCTAGTTTAATGTTGTGTCCTCTTTTCTCTTTAGTGACTTTTAGAATTTCTTCATTTACAACATCTCTTCCTTGAAGAATCCTATAAAATTGGATAACATCATACTGCTTCCTTCTGTATTCCAAAGAGGGTAAACCGAGACCAAGACTTAACATGTGTTGTTGGTAAATGAGGTTTTCTAGTCCTTTTACTAGTTTGGTTGCTCTGCGTTGAACTTTTTCAACTGCTCTAGTGTCTATCTTAGGTATGGGGCAGCATACTTTCACAGCGTATTCCAAGTGTGGTTGAATTAGAGATTTAGATATTTTAACAACATTTCTTTATTTAATTCACTGAAGGTTTGTCTATTATTTCCAAAAGGTGGTTGGCTTTCTTGACATTAGTTGCGATATGGTCATTAAGTTTTAAGTTATCTTGAAAAATTGCTCCTGGGCCTTTTTCATTATTAACTTGACTCCTGCAGTTCGAGGTGCTTTAAGGCGCCCTGGATATAGGTACATGCTAGTTATTCAGGGAGCCCAAAGCTATTCACTTGACTACGGCAGTTTGGGGAGCTTTAAGGCCCCCTAGTTCTGGGTGGTCCACATACAAGCATTCTAAAAATGTTTTTCCTACCAAAATTTAAGCATCAGTTTATTCAGTTACAAATCAAATTCAAGGTGGCCATATTCATTTATAAAACGCATCTAAAATAATTTGGTATAATCGAAAATTGACAAACCTTGTCTATTTTTGCGTATTCTTTTAGCTTGTTGTAATTCTGATTTACATTCAGTTATCTTTAGAGTAGCTTCTTCTATCTTATTCTCTGCAAAAAAAATAAATTGTGTTGTTATATATTATATATATGTATGGACAGCAGGGTAATTTTTACATATTTTAGGTTATTTTCCGGGATCTTTATTTTCCCATTTGTTTAATGTAGTTTTACAAATTTGTTTTCTTTCATATTCACAATGAACTGAAAGGAGTTTACCACATCTGACAAACTAAAAATCTGCAACAAACATTTTAGATCAGTTAACACTTTATTGAGTATTGCCTCCAAGTCTCGCAAGCATCCATGTCAAGTTAATCAGCTGGAATAATCATAGCATTGGGGAACTTTATTCTGGTTTCAATATAGCAAAATAGGTTACAGGTAAATTTAAGAAGTATATGCCCTATTAATATTATATTAAATATCTTACCAATTCTTTGATTTAACGTTTCATAATTTTGTTGTTCTTCTAAATTCATTTGATAAACTTTGACAGATTTTTCCAAAGTATATTCACATTGAGATATAGTGGATAAAATTCTCTGATACACCATGTTGCTGAAAAAACAAAACACCAACATTAAATATACTTCACATAGTGGAACTAATATAATGAATTTGGTGCATCATATGCAATGGTAGTTCAGCAATTTTCATATTGAACTTCATTAAAGTACCAATTTCACATCGTACAAATATTCAGTAACAATTATTAGTCCATATGATTTTATAAATGTACTACACATTGTCATGTCAATGAATTACAACATACAGGGATAGTGTTCAAAAACTTTCTGGACCAAAGAGCTCATCTGAACACAACTTGTTAACAGTATCCAAAGCTCATTAACAACATAAATCACAGCTTGTGTTGCAGTCAGTTATAAATGTTAATCATATCACTCTCTATCAGATAGAATCAAAGTTATCTTGTCCCAAAGCATCGACCAATGAAATTGGTTAGCTCTGCTTAGCTTTAGCTCGAAATGTTAATCATTGAACTCAGTCAAGACATTCACCTAATGAACATCTATGTACATCAAGTTTAAACATTCTATCTCAATTAAAAGCAGAGTTGTTATGTTCCAAAGTCTTGACCAATCAAATTGCTTATCGATCCTTAGACTAAGCAGAAAATTCTCATCATCAAACTTAGTCAAGGTAATGATATAATGAATCTATAATCATGAGTTTCGTCACTCTCACTTAATTAAAATCAAAGTTATCGTGCCCCAAAGCATCAACCAATCAAATCGCTTATCTCTGCTTACCGTAAGCAGACAATGTTTATCATCGAACTCCATCAAGGCATTCACCTAATGAACGCCTACACCAAGTTTGAACATTCTACCTCAATTAGACAGAGAGTTATCATGTTTCAAAGTCTTGACCAATCAAATTGCTTATCGCTCTGCTTACCCTAAGCAGAAAATGCTTATTATGGAACTTAGTCAAGGTATTGATGTGATAAAACTATACACCAAGTGTCCTCACTCTCACTTAATTAGAAAGTTATCGTGCCCCAAAGCATCAACCTATCAAATTGCTTATCATTGCTTAGCCTAAGCAGAAAATGCTCATCTTCGAACTTCATCAAGGCATTGACCTAATAAACCCCTACACCAAGTTTGAACATTCTAGCTCAATTAGAAGGAGAGTTATTGTGTTTCAAAGTTTCAGCCAATCAAATTGCTCATCTCTCTGCTTACCCTGAGTAGAAAATACTCATTAATCAAGGTATTGATGTAATGAAACTATACACCAAGTTTCATCACACTCACTTATAAATTAGAACTAAAGTTATCGTGTCCCAAAGCATCAACCAATCAAATTGCTTATCTCTGCTTATCCTAAGAAGAGAATGCTCATCTTCGAACTCCATCAAGGCATTGACCTAATAAACGCCTACACTAAATTTGAACATTCTAGCTCAATTAGAAAGAGAGTTATTGTGTCCCAAGAAGTGTGACAATTACAAAGATAGGTTGTCAGTTAATGGAAATGAAATGAAATGGGATTAACATCCTACTTCTCTGCTACATCTGGGCTAATGAAAAAACAGGCATACCGAATTCAGTGTGTGAGAGGAAAATTTTGCTGACAGATGCCCTACGGCCTACTCTGATTTCAAATTCCAACTGTCAAGGCTTCTTTTACGCTGTTCCTTGGCAGGCCCTTCCTGTCCTGTGCCACTGACAAGAGGAAACCACGTTGGAAAATGCAGAGGAACTTTCTAGGCCAACAACTGGATTAACACACGCCCTCAATGTTAGTGAGCAAGTGCCTTACTTACTGGAGCCAAATCACCTGAGCAGTACATAAATTTTAATTAAACTTTGATTGGCTTCTGCAGTTCTTGCTTGAGGTGACATTAAGAAAACCTGCACAGGTAATCAGACAATATAACTTTCGCTGTTAAGAGTTATCAGAGGGTTATCAGGAAAGTTTGAAAATGTAACAGGCTTGATTGAATATATAAATAAGCGTAAGCTTACTAATACTAAATAAATATCAAACAGATGGAGGATACACAAGATTTTTCAGACTGAGATGACGACAACATACATGATACATACATATAACATGTTTGCTCACATTTCATTGTGGGGTATAAAAATATGCACAGTCTGATCTGATCAGGACGGCTTCTAAATGCTAAATCTGACAAATTGATGACATTAAGTAAGCTATTTAGTTATGTACCTATCTTCATCAACAGGTGATTGTGTCCATCTTATGAACATTTTCAGTAAATTATTCAACCTTTTATCATCATTTCCTCCCTCTCCATCAATCAATAATCGCCTCTTGATAATATCATCTGAAATATACCACAATATCAATTTCACAAAATGCACAAAAACACCTTTTAACAACTGAACATATAATTATTATAATGTAAGCAGCAGAATTCTAAATTTAACCCAACAGGTATGGGGGCTATGCATTATAGAGGTCATTTCTGTTCTGTAATTTAATGGTGACCTTATTTTGTATTTGGTGCAGTATTTTATGATGGAATTCATATTGATGATTGTTGAATGGATGTTACAAAAATGGAGATTATAACATCTACTTGTGCAACACTGGTTAACACAGAACAAACATTGTATAAGCAAACTAAGTTTTTGATATTAGCACAAAATCTGAAGGTTGTAACTGATATATTGCGAAGATTGTATACTGAAGTTTAGGATATTAGTGCAAAATCTAATGGTTGTACCATATTGATAGTTTCGGACTAATGATGGAGTAGAAATGGTTCCACTACGGATGTCTTCAGTCTTGTTCCAGCCACAGTAGTGGATCATCCTAAGGCCTTCCTTTGATCTCGCTTTAACTACGTACATCTTATCCAGGCCTTCACGTTATACCCTACATATTTCAGCACTAATTTTGATTGGGTACAAGCTCAACTTGTGAGCCTATCAGATTCCTCGATCGTCGCGAATGCCAGGTCTCGGGCTTCCAAGCTAAAATGTCTAACTGTGATAATCGAGTTGCAAAGTTCAAGGTTCATTCAATGTCAAGGTTTCCGTGGAGGTGGCTATGTCACAACCTCTGATTAAACGCTACTGCTCGCGTGTCTGTAGATAACATAGCTATAAGTTCGGGAAATGTGAAGTAAACAAGCAATGGCCAGATGTTGTGAAACTCGCAGTCGTTGCTTCAGGAATATGCGTGACCTGAAACCCTTACTATAGGGGTTTCAGGTTAAAGTTTTAAATGACAGAAAAAATTTAATTTTTTAAAAAATATTTCGTGAAAATATACATAAACTGCTACCCAATTTTTTTTATTTCATCAAATTACTCTAATTAGATCAAAGTTATGGAATTTTAAAATCCAAGATCAACGTCAATAATGTAATCAAAATGCTCTATACCACAGTCAATGCCTGCCATGGGACCAAAATAAGTGCTTTTCAGTCATATCTGACTGACAAGTGTATTTTCCATTCAGAATCACTAGTAACAATTTTAAAACTCAAATGTGCACGTTATAGTCAGCTAAGATTCATTAAAATCGTAATAATTTGAATGATATTATGTCAAATATTTATAATCTGGATGATACCACAAAAAAAGTAGACTATATTTAGTCTTAGTTTAGTAAATTTCAGTCAGCAAAACAGAAATATTCCGATTTCTACGGCTGTTATTGTCGTAGCTCGGGGTATCACGCACCATAATAATCACAAAAATGTCATCTATCGTTTGATTGGTTCTATGTGGAAATCCCCCGGAAACTAAGATGTGGATACACCAATGAAGTGAGCCGTAGCAATGGAAAATCCCCGGCCACGTGGCGTCAAAGCGGCATTTTCCCGCGAGCGTCTCCTGTACATAAACGGTAATTTCGCTCACAATTCGATAATTTTTTAGCTTGAATCTTTGCAGATATCGAGATTGATATTTAACGATTACAATATAATTGCTAGTAATACATTTAAATAAAATAGTAATTTCATAATCGTAGTTTGAAGCAGGCTATATTTCAGCCGCTGGCGGTCAGATTTCACGCTAAAATCATGTGACCTGAAACCCCTACTACTACTAGTAACAATACTGTTATACATGATTTATATTTTTATGAAAAGAAACCATAACAAGACGTTAGGCATAACAACGTGAATATATCAATAATAGAATTAGACAATAAATATTCGTTCTGGGGTACAAAATATGATTTTATAAAATGCAAATATTGCTAAAAACAAGATCTTGGATTATGGAATCAAAGACTACAAAAAGAGCTGAAAGGTCTTCAATAATGATAGAGCTTGAATAGAATCTATTTTTAGCAGCTGTCAACCACCACTTGAAAAGATGGACCCGTCTAGCTATGAAAACGGAGAGCTAGGTGGACAGATTATCCGCAGTTCTGCAATCATGAGAACACGGTGCCGTTATGCTATCTATGAAAAATGTTGTGAATTCATCTGAAGCCGGTGAACTCATGCTTTTTTGCACGTGTACTAACCATCGGACACCGCCATTTTTCGTCAGCGATGATGTCCCTTACACATTGAAATTTAATGAAATGCATCCTCATTAAAAATTAATAATGACATAAATTTGATCTTTAATATTTGATATTGTTATTCTGCAATCATCATTAAGATAGCTTTCGCCGAAAATCAGTTTATGAATCTTCGGAATCAGATTTATTGAAGTTTATCATATTCTTTTATCTGGGCATAAGCGATATTTTCTCCGTCGATACTCTCCGGTAATGACGTCAGACTCGGTAAACTCCGGTTTGGCAGAAAGCAACAAGAAAACTACACAAAATGGCGACCCAGGACTGGAGTCCGTCTATGTTTGCGGGCCAGTCTTGGTCAGCTTGGGCGGATAATGTCCCCCTGACAGATGTAAACGGTAAAATCCATAATTTAACTTTATATTTACATCTTTATAATACCCACACTTACACACAACCTATGTAAACAGTAAATGAAATTACGATGTGGGTAAACCCTAAATCTTAGAATTGAATTTCAATTAGAGAAGTGTCATTTAAGAAGATAATATCTATGTACAATTTTAATCCGCAGATGATGAAGAAACAGTTAAATCCCAGCATGGTGAAGAAATCAATGTAGACAGTATGAAGCTCAGAATTAAAGGTTTGAAAGACTAAGACTCGATTCTTTCGTAATTTACACTCTTAACTTGATTCCATTATTTGGATTAGCCTGAACATCACACCTGAAAACAAATCAACAAGGCAGGAAGAGTCAAGGTTGCTGTTAGTTTTTGGTCATAATTACACTCTGATGATCTGTGTTCTGTGAATAATTACACCAAGAAAGAATAAATATTGCTCTGATTATAGAGATCTGCATTATTTGATTCTGCATTATTTGATTCTTACTTATACCGTAAATATTTCCTTGATCAAAATATTAGGCGGTAAATAATTTGAAGGCAACAAACATTGTAATACATATAAATTGTGAACCCTTATTATACCCAAATGAATTAGATTTTAGAAGATATATTTAGACATAATAATCTAAACCATCAAAGACTTATTACGCTTATATGAGGATATCATAATTGATATTGTGGCAACAGGTTGGATTCTGAATGTGTTATTGATATGAAAATATTGAAATTCCTGTAAACAGATATATGTAGGAAGAATGGGGAGCAACATTTTTTACATGCATAGCATCATTTTATTTTTGGGCTTCATAGCTAATATGTTCTAATTGTTGTTTTTTTCTTCAGATATGCCCTTGTTTGGTCTTTGTCCGTCTCAAGATGAATTTTATCTGGTGCTGTGTGAAAAATGCAACAAGACCTTAAAACCACAAGCCTTTAAACAGCATATGGGTATGAATATAAATCAAGAGCTTTCTGTTTTAATTGAATTGAAATCTGATTCTTTGTTGGATGTTGATTACCCCAAAATTCCTAAAGACAACTACAGAGCTTTTTTATAACTTACACATTATGCACATTTGCTAGTTCTTATTCATTGATCATTTCACATTTCAAAACAGTTTACATTTCTGTTCTGTACATCCAATTTGGAATGATAATGTTCCTGATTTAGTGAGTACAAAAATCCCATAAAGTCCCACAGACTTCACATGACTGTTGAACATGTTACCATCACATGCAAACCACTAGTTTTATAATGTGGTATCCCACACAACATACAGACTATGAAGCAGTCATTGTTTTCTACATATGGTTGGTGAGCCAATTAGCAAAAGTCCAACATTGCTCTCCAAAAAAGAGCACTCCCAATTTGAACTACTAGGTATGTGTTTTGGAAAATATCATAAGAAATATTTCTTGATGGAATTTTGAATTCAGTATTTTGTCATGAAGATGCTCCAATCAAAAATAAAATAATTATAGACTATTTATAAAAGATGACGTTAAACATCCCAGAAAAAAATAAGATTGAATGATTTTCCATATCTTTTTATTCATAACGCAAAGAATCATAGTTTAAGTAATTTTTGTGATGTTTGTATCTGGAGTACAAATTCTTTGTGTTTTTGGTTTTTTTACCAAGTACTGTAAATTATTTATCAAGTCCAGGTCAAATAAAACTCAAAATACACTTATTACCTAATATAAACACAGAACATACATAGATTATATTTCATGTGAAATACTGGGTAGCCTTGGTCACATCTTGGTGAATGGATATATTAGTGATCTGTCTTCAAGTTCACAAAGCATTCACAGACGTATGAATTTACTCAGAATTTTTCACCTTATTTTAACTAAAATATAGCTCTTTATAAAACTTCTGTTGTTTTAATGTATCAAATACATCAATAAGAAACCATATGCAAAGTTTTGTGTTTCTGGATCAAAGATGTTTCTCATAAACAGTGATTGAAAGTTGAGTAAATTCTTAACTTAATTCTAAGAATGTTTTAGGAACTCGGGACCTGGGTATTTAAAAATTAAGCAAACGTTACAGATGTGACATTTTTATCTATGGTTAAAGTGTATTTGGGAGACTTAAATACATGGAGATAAAATTCAGATTTTGAATGTAACAGATCGAACAGGATAGACTTTGTTTTAACTTCAAAAGGAACAATCTCTTGAAGCACTTTCATCTACACAGTTCAGGAAATGACATAGGAATAGAATGTCATTAATGTTTAAACAACATATTATTTAAAGTAATGAATTTAGATAATTTTACTTCCTGGTTCCATACATGTATATAAATAGACATATACATCACAGTGTAAACAAAATGAAAAGTAGCAGTACAGTTCTTAAAAGGATACAACCATTTTCATTTGGATGAAAATTTAAAGTTGATTTCACAAACTGTCTTTTTTTTTTAAGTAGGTGTCTGGTTACATTTAAAATCTTATCAATGAAGAAATATACTTGATTTGGGTTAACAGTCAAATCTACATTTGAAGCCAGAAACATAACTTAAATTAGTAAACGAACCGCTTTGCGCTTTAATCTTTCCCAAACAAAATTTATAAAATCTTCAATATTTATATGGAGCTTGTACGTTCACTATCAAAATAACACATGAGATCAACGCCTTTCAACATTAAATAAAACTGGTTTAAATAAAAGGCATTCATTGATCATTCATGCAAAATGACATTGAAAAAAAGTAGATTCTTTTTTACTTTTACATGGACAGAATATATAATACATTATTCGGAAGATAGGATAAAAAAAACTTGATAACTAATGAAAATCTAACATTGTATTTACATATCATGGTCGTTCTGGTCTAAACCAGGTGATTAACATCACCAACCAGTGCTTTGAAAAAACTTTGTTTGGACAACATCGTTACCACCTAGTGTTCATAGAATTCAGTCTGTCAGTCTGTAAAAAAGCGGACCTTGGTCAATTTTCTTTTTTTTTGTAGTTCCTTCAAAACCACTAGGCACTTTTTTCCTCCAAAGCCCCCCATCCTACACTACTTAAAAGGTGAAACGAGGCTAGAAAAATATATTTGATAGATAAATTTGATTTTCAGAAATTTCTAATAAAATTTGATGTGATTATTTACAGCGGTTTCATGGATTTGTGTAATCACTGATACTCATTTTCTCGTTTCAGTTCAAAGACATGGTGTTAAAGATGTACAAATTAAGCGATCTAGTTCTACCTCTCATAGTCATTCAGTATCGAGTATTTCTCCAAAGAAAGTGGAGAAAACTGAGTTACAAGCAGTCCGTTCCATGCCGACCAAGGCTAGTGTAAAACAAACACCACCTGAAATCGCGGCTTTATCTCGGGCTAGGAACAATACAGCACTAAAAATAGCCAGTGTATCAAGTGTTAAAGACAAGCCTGATAACTTGAAAAAGACACAGTCACTACCGTTTGTGAAAGTTGAACGTATACCAGATCAGGTATCTGTGAAAAAGAAGGTATCGGTTAACCCAGCATGTGATATTAAACCTGTTGTCAGCAATGGTTCTTTAGCAGTAGAACTTGAAGAAGGGATAGATGTGATTTTTGCTGGGGAGGTTGCTGAAAAAACTGTAGTGACACCCATAACCCCTTTAAAAACACCTCCCAAAATCCCCATTCTCAAAAATACATTGCCAGCTGCAGGTACTACGCCACCGATATCAATATCAAAAATAGCGCCAATTATTACTACTGCTACTGTTATTAGTCCTGTTGTTAGCGTGAAACCTGAGATATGTGTGAAACCTGTATTAACGAGTTTATCTAATACTACCTGTAGCAGCAGCAGTAGTAGTAGTATTAGTAGTACAAATAATAGTACAACTACCATTAAACCTGTAACTAGCTCAAACACATCACCATCGAAATCAACCTCCATTTCAAATCTAACAAAACTTCCTGTTAAAGAAAAATTTCTACCATGCAAGGGTAAGTTTTTATTTTTAAAGGTTTGTATGTTACCACTGGTTTATTTTACATCATTTTCAAAACAAAAAAAATCCAACAAAAAGGACAGATACTTTCCAAATCTAACCCATATCTCTACAGCATAGACAAATTTATTCTAATGCATACACATCAAATTTGCAGTGCTTTAGAAAGGTCGCATTTTTTACCTGAAAAAAAAAATCAAATATAATTGTGAATATTTGTGTGTTGTATTAATATTATAAACAGGGCATTTCAGTTTCATTTTCTCTTTCAACTGTTTAGTTCTAACAAACTAAGACAACTATTTTTCTGATAAATTCAGTGTTAATTACATGTATGGCAAAAGTGTTAATAGAGTCCACAATTCAGCCTGCAAAAATGCTACTTGTTTTATGTAGCATCTGTTACTCCAAATTTTATCTGAGCATTAAAGAATGTTGAATTTACTCTTTAAATTTTCTTAAATTGTTAGTAAGATGCTAAATTAATAAAATTGTAATTATGTTTTCTTAGATCGTGAGTATGATGCTAATAAACACTGTGGTGTATGGATAGAAGATATTCAACGTTCTTGTACCAGATCACTAACCTGCAAGGTAAACTTATTGGATTATTTAACCTACATGTACATAAACCACTCACTTGAAACAACTAATGTATTATTAATTATGTCCACAGCAGCTCTGTTAAGAACTGTAATGTGAATTAAAAGTGTATATGCTAAATGACCAAATTGTATATTATTTTGATGAATGTAAAAGATATTTTTATCTGGTTTGTTCATCATAGCTGAATTATATCAGTTGGGATTATACACAAAATTATCGCAAGCAGTACTGGTATATTGTAGCCTATATGTACACAACAATTTCAAATACTAGTGCTGTACAAGTTCAAAGTTTTTATCCCGATTTGTTTTCTTATTTCATTTGTTAGACATACAAATGGCTAAAACACAGTATTTGTCCAGTTTTCAATTTTTTGATGTTATATACAGTTTGGAAACAACATTCCAGCATTAAATGACCTCACGTAATGACCACCAAATTTCAAGTCAATACATGTATATATCTTCATTGTTGAGTTACGGCAATAAACATGTCCCAATTTGCGTTATGCTGTCTCACTTCAATAAATTCTATTTTGAAACTCAAATTAATATATTTTCTATGACTTATGACATTTCGTATAATAAATTTTGGTAGTCGAATTATACAAATAGTGTATTATTACAAAATCATGTGTTTCTGTTAAATTTTCAGAATCACAGTGGATAAAAATGTGATATTCAGTAATATTATTATTTTCAATGCATGTGCAATTTTAAAATCTTAAATATTTTTTATTCATTTGAATTTGATTTTTTTTCACTTTTTAAAGGTTATAGACACTACATGTACATTGTAGTATCTGTTACCATAAGTGACCATACAGTGAACCCTGAATTAAAAAGCTTCACAAAAGTGTATTTGCAACAGCTGCTTAAGCGAAAAAAGTATAAATTTTAATGACCAAAATATTGAACCGTTGATACATAGAATTGCAAGACAAGTTATCTTTTCACACTGATTAGTCAACTTTTGTCACAAATACTGTGCTTTAGCCGAAAATTTTTCTTTTTTCCGTTGAATGTTTGATCTACTGACTGCTCTGTTACTCTTAACTGAAAAATATCACTTGAAAAATCTGTGTACCAAATGTTTATTAGTTTGTATTTTCATATTTCAGACCCATGCCTTGTCCTTACGTAGAGCAGTGAAAGGAAGATGTAAACCATTTGACGACCTTTTAAAGGAACATCGAATAGCCAAAGAAGCCTTACTCAAAGCTAAAGCCTTGGCTGCAGGCCTACCACCACCTAATTCTAAATACAGTCATCTTTTAGAAGCTAGTGAAGCAGAATCTGCCGCAGCCTCCTCACATTCCAAACCTTCCTCATCAACTACCCCCTCTCCACAAAAAATACCCAAAACCCAAAACAAAACATCAGCTGCAGCATTTCAAAGGTAAGTTATAGCATTACTTAAAAGACAAAACTTAGCTGGCCTGCAAGACAAGGAGATCAAACCTGGGGCCTCTTGATTAGTGCCCCACCATGGCTTTGTAAATACCTGGTATCTATGGATTTATCGGATCAAAGTGAAATTAAGGGCAGGATAGACTAGATTTTATTTAAACTGAAACAAGATTAAGATGAGATTATTAATGATCCAATAACCAATGATAACCAAGCGCTAAAATAATTGAATAAGGGACAAAATAGATCAAGCCAACAGAATATGAACTGTGGGGAGGCATATGCTTCAGATCATACATAAGGTCTGCCATTTAGAAAAGGCCTGTGCAAGCAAATTATTGAAATAAGAATATACCTTATGTTAGTCCAGATATAACCTGGTTTGTGTTGAGTGAAAGTCAAACCCCATTTCTCTGTATATAAACTTTGAAACAAGATGTTGTAACCTGGAAAATTAATAATTTAATCTTATATGACGTTTTAATTTATATTCCAGATTGTCAGTTAGTGGAGTGTATCCTCCGCAGACGACAGTACGAGAAGAAGTTGGAGGTAGTGAACCGTCTGCTAGTACCAGTAAAATAACTAGTGATGGTGAAGGTGATGATAATATAGATAAAGATCCAGGACATCTTTCATATCATCCAAGACCGGCTGCTGTAAGTTTATTTCACTCCACCTATTACCAAATTATCATGGTAATGTTATAACATTTTATATTTTTCTGCATCAACCGAACTGAAGAAGATCGGTATATATCATGAAGTGTGATATATGGGAAATTTTGTCCAACTGCTCCTCGTATCGCAAATATCAAAGATTCTTTTACCTGCAAGCCAACAAGTACACAGATGGACCTCAGCTTTTTATATCATCCAAACATCAAGACACTTTTCCTTGCCAGACCCATTGTCCTGCAACACTGACAAGGGTAAACAAAGTTGAATAATCCTCCAGATTAGTGAGCCAAGGCCAAGAAAAATTTGAAATATTTCTCCCACAAATATTTTCATTTTGTGCTTCATTTGGAAAGGTGGTACTTGTTGACAATGTTAAAAAAATAGTTTAATGTTAATATAATGCATTCTGCTGAATGGACTTACAAAGGTTTATGTGAGGGGATGTATGTTAACTTTATATGAAATTTTATCAAGGTATTGTATTTTGTATTATAACATGTCTTTTTTCTCCACAGATCTGTAACTTTGGTGCTCGAAGAATGGGGGGTAATTTTTCAGTTTTTTCACGTAAAGTGGATTTTGTAAGGGCAGCATTCATTAGTGCTTTAGAAAAACGTCTTCATCCACCTCCCCACAAGTAAGTAAATTGTTTACAAGAATGTTGATGAGAGTAAATTACATTTGTAAATGATTTAAATGTGAATGATAGTCTGGTTATAAAACTGAACATTTTTCAAACAAATGTATGGTCTTCGGCAAAATTTTATTGAAGTTTTTTGACTATGCAAGCCATTATATTAGTGACGTCAGTTATATGTCTAAAAATTGTATGTAGGCATACGACAGTGTTTCTAAGAATTATCCTGTAGAGTAGGGCACAGGAATAAAATATAGTTTTATTGAATTTAGAATCTAAAATGAAACAACATTTCATTTCATTAGCCCAGTAGGAGCAGAACAGTAGGATGTTAAACCCCCACTTCATTTCATTAATATATGCATTCTGATAGTCTGACAGTATAAAAAAAAATTAGAATATGTCAGGCCTCAAATTAAACCCTATTTTTGCAAAAGTTTTATGCAGTGTTATACAGATAACTTAATAATTGATCACTAAAAAAAATTTCTTTCAGAAAACTTTGTGTTGAATCAAATTTACCAAAGGATTCCCATATTGTGACAAATGCTGTTGACCCTTATGAATTTATGGATGCAGGAGCTTCGGCCAATATGAATGCGCTATTTAATTCATCTATCAGAAGTGGCTCTATGAAACAAAAATCAAAATCTACGAGCAATCGTACCTTAAAGCAAAATGTGGGATCTCGTAGTCCAGGTAGTTCTAATGTGTCGTCATCTGCCACCAGTGGCGTTAATCCTGCCAAACGTAAAAGAAGTGGAAGTGGTCAAGGAAGTGTTATTACCTTTTCCTCCCCATCTATATCTCAATCACAATCTCAGACAATAACCAATGTTATCTCATCGTTACCGTTAAATACAAACTGTACCAATAGTCCTATAGCAACCATAGCCATTCCAAGCATGAACATAACAGGCACTACTATTGGCCAATTTAATACTGCTGGAAAGACCAATCAAATGCAATTACAGAAAAATAATGTTTTGGGGAAAGACGGACAAGTGAATTTTGTATTAACTAATCTCGACCCATTAGCAAGAAATGGTTGTGTTAATATTTCAAATACGCAGCTTGGACAAGTTTACATGACAGACGATAAAAACGCTAAAAAGTCACGTATGTCCATAGCTGGTAATAAAAATAGTGGTAAAATAGTGAATACAATAGAAGGATTAAAGAACTTTCCGAAGAGTGTGTTTTTAGCTTCACCTAATATTTATATGGATCGTACTTTAATAGCTCCATCAACTACTAATAGTACGTTAATGTCACTATCCACACCCATTGTAACTCCAGCTCAAGTGCATGTAAGTAACATTCAATATTTATATAGGAACAATGGTAAAGTTACTATAATGTACATGTACTATGCAAGGTTTGGAGACGACCTTTAATTTTCAAGTATGGCTGTTTTTCTCCAAACAACAGAAATACATAGCACTGTGAGAAATAAAAATGATCAAATTTTCATGAATATATTATCCATGTATTAAAATACATTGAAATAACATTGAGGTCATGTTAGCAATTATTTATAATAATAAACATTTTGTAATATTTACAGGATACGAGTTTAACAAATGGAATTGGTTCACCTTCTTCAGGTAGGATTTAAATTTTTACCATAAAAAATATTATAATTTATAAATGCTAAAATTGCTGATGATCACAGGCAATATTGGAAAGTGGTTCTGCAATGTACACTTAATTAGAATTCCAACTGTCAAGAGATATTTTACGTGTACGCCAATGTGTATACAGGACCTCAGCTTTTCTTCCCATCCAAACAAGGGGGGTTGGATGGCCGAATGGTTAGCATGCACACGCTGTATCATAAGGCCTGCCATTGAGTCAACTGGCGTGGTTTCGAATCCCCGGTTGTACGTGACAAGGAGTAGGGTCGCCTGTCCAACCTTGTGGGTTTTCTCCGGGTCCTCCAGTTTCCTGTTTTCAGGAAAATGGTACATATATATTCTGTCACCATATGATGACAAACGTATATAACATAATTTAAATACTATTATCAAGTTAGAAATTTTTGATTTCCGAAAATACAGCGTCAATCGAAGGCGCCATTTGCACACTAACATGAAATCCTTGAACCATTTTAACCTGTTACCTTACAGCACTTGCGTGTGGAAGCACTGCTTATATTATATTAATCAGGTCTATTTCATTTTTCCAGATAAAAATCTAATGAACCGTCAGAAAGTAGCAACCAACCCAAAAAGTATTACAACACAGGGAATGCCATTACTCCAGGCACGTCAACTTACTCAACAAAATACAGGACCTATATTTACTAGTCAAAATCAGTTAAACCCATTACAAGTCAAATCATCTAATTTAAATATGAATAAAAAAGTATCCATGCAACCAGTTTCCATAACAATACCCCTCACAAGCCAATCAAATTTAAGTGCCTTGGGTGGTCAACAGACACAACATACATTTCTGATTCGAACAAGTACGGATGAAAGTGGTGGACAACATCAAGAAATTCATCTCCAGCAACCATTATCTAGTTCCTCTACAAACCTCATCTCCTAGCAACAGCATCCTCCTCCATCTTTGAATTATTGAGGTTTATTACACAAAGGATTATCATATGACTACTAATTATAACAATCCTCATTATCATATCACAGTGTAGGAGTGTGCTTATAGTTTATTCACATTGGTTTATTTAGTTAGAATACATTTGTGTGTGCATTTTGCTTCACTATGGACATTTCTTGAACTAAAGTATCTACATATACTAGATCACCAGTAACCAAGAGGAAATGTTAAAGTTGTGTTTTACGTTCTCAGTGTTTTTTGTGCTATTAATAAGAAATGATCAAAATCAACAGAACTGATACAAATTTCAGAATTGATTATTTATTATGGAGTATTGTCTAAATGTGAGTTGTTAGTTTGTGAACACAAGCATGACTCTCAACAAAATGAAAACATAGAATAATAATCTATTGATAAGGCTTATAGATGGAAATCTCTCTCAATTGAATTCAGAGGCTCATTTGACATTTGAACATAATTTTTTTTTTTATTTCTTTTTTTTAGAGTCCTCTACTATGATAATTAGTTTGTTTTATACTCATTTATTCATTGTACATGTATTAAAAAGTTACGTCAATCATTGCTGTTCCCCAGTTAACAAAAGTGTGAATTAGAACAAGGTTGTTACTGTATCATGTGATTGCTGTCCTTCTGATAATGTTTCTAGTCAGGGAGTGGCATGTCCCACCTGTCCTATTCTGACAGTCACAAGATTTTAAATAACAGAAAGATAATGGTATGTAGATGTAGGAATTATTTACTGTTATGATCATTTTAGAATCTTTATTTGTTTTAACTCAAACAAAGATATGTCGCAGAAGGTCATAAAATCGAGAAAATTAACCACTATCTGCTAGGTTGTAGATACTAAATAAAAGCAATTAAATAGGGATTTCAGGTCACGTGTTATTAATTTGAAATCTGACAGCCAGCGGCTGAAATATAGCCCACTTCAATCTACGATTCTGAATTACTATTTTATGTAAATGCATTACTAGCAATTGTATTGTAATAATTTAACATCAATCTCAATATCTGCAAGATTCATGCTCAAAAATTGTCGAAATGTAAGCAAAATTACTGTTTATGTACAGGAAATGCTCGCTGGAAAATACCCCTCTGATGTCCATTGCTATGACCCACTTCATTGGTGAATCCTCACCTTAGTTTCCGGGAGATTTCAACATAGAGCCTATCAAACGATAGATAACATTTTTGTGATTATTATGGTGCGTGATACCCCAAGATAGGACAATTATAGCCGTAGAAAACAGGATTTATCTGTTTTGCTGCGGAAATTTGCTAAATTTCGACTAAATATAGCCTACATTTTTTGTTGTATCATCCAGATTATAAATATTTGACATATTAGGCAACACAAATAAAATAACTTGTTTCTCGGGCACCGCCCGCACGCAAAATTGGTTGCGCGTGCAGTCTATTTATTAGTCTTGATGAAAAAAAATAAATATGTAACGCCCGCCCGCACATCGACAAGCAAGTCGTAAAAAAAATATCCCGCATGTACCTACATCCGCCATACATGTATATCTATTCAAATGTATTAAAACTGATTCAGATGAACATGCTGTCTTTTTTATCCGAACAATGGCGAAGTTTGGCAGATTTGCCTTTTTAATTGATATCGAAAGAACCTCCATTTTGTATCACGTGATATTAATTACCTCCCCTGATAAACTAGAATTTGAATCGTGTTAAAAGTCATTGGCGACAATATTTCAATCATTCGATCGTAATCGGCTCATTATTGCCGGCTTCAGTCGGTCCTTGTTTGGAAAATCCTATTGATAAAATAATGAACCGTAGAACAGGTTAATTAATTATAGCTAAGAATACGATACGATGACGATAGTCGTCATAATGCATACCTTAGAATCTGGGTCATTATTAGCACATTTAAGGTAGTTTCGATAATCCGGAAAATAATAATTGGATTACCGATTTGATGGTTTTACTGACCAGTTGTTAGTTAGATTTAAATAGTCATTCAATATAAACACCGGATAGAACACCGAATATCCTGAGAAACACACCGAATATCCCAAGAAACAGTATTTCCGGCAATCTCCAATACCGATGACACGGTGTGACATGCATTGGTTGGAATTCGGTAAATAATTATAAATAAACCGGCGATACTAGATTTAGTTTTAAATACTGTTTACCATGATTATTATTTTTGATACACCTGGTGAAAGAGGCTTAGTTTTTAAAAATATTGTTGTCTTTATGGAGGGCTATTACATAGTCGTATGGAATTTTATTTTAAACCAATTTCAATTATGTGAATTAAATATGGAAAATTATTTTCCTTTCAGTCAGTGTTCAGTCTCAGTGTTTTAGTAGACTTGATTTTGGGTTTATGTTTTAAGTATGTACAATAAAGTTGAATATAACGGAAAGCAAAAACGTAAACAAGTAATGACTTTCTCATTTAAAAAAAAAAAAAAAGAAAGACCGCCCTCCCGCCCCAACAATTTTCAGCAATAGCCAAATTTTATTTTGCACCATCAATGAGTAAAAAAAAAAAGAAATCGCCCTCCCTCCCTCCCTACAGTTTCAGCTGTCAGTTGCCCGAGAAACAAGACATTTATTTTGTGTGGCCTTATGATTCAAATTATTACGATTTTAATAAATCTTAGCTGACTATAGTGTGCGGATTTCAGTTTTAAAAATTGGTACTAGCGATTCTGAAGGGAAAATACCATTTAGGACGTCACTCAGATATGACTGAAAAGTACTTACTTTGGTGCCATGGCAAGCATTGACTGCTATATATAGAGCATTTTGATTACATTATTGACCTCGATCTCGGATTTTAAAATTCCATACCTTTGGATCTAATTAGAATATTTTGATGAAATAAAAAATTTTGGGTAGCATATTATGTATATTTTCACAAAATATTTTTTTAAAAAATTTTCTGTCATTTAAAACTTTGACCTGAAACCCCTAAATTGAATGGTCAGTTTAAATTGGGGTCATCAAGTAGTAAAGATAATGCTCAAATTCACCCATCAAATGAGTTACCTCCCATTGATATGCCTGAGGTAAATTAAGCTTGCAGTTATACAGTTTTAAACTATGTTAGAGTATCCCATGATTCCAACTTTCTGATATAGTGAGCTGAAGCTTGAGATTATGTACAACCAATGTAAAGTCTGTCGATGTGTATAACTCAAAATTATGCCACAGAGGAGATTACTCTGGTTGATTCTTAATTTTTAGTAATGACATATCAAGGTCTTTTATGGACTGAATGATCAAGACTAGTAACATGTAAGTCTGTTAAGTAGTTTTGAACTGTCATTCATGTTAAATTCAGATTTCTGTCCTGATTTTTGATAGAAGGCTTTCACATTGGTCTAGTCATTCATTGTAAAGGAATATCTTCAGCTTAAATAAGCTGCCCCAAGTTATATCATTTAAGACAGATTTTAAAACTATGTCAAATCTCAATAAATGGTACTAGAAAGGACTTAAGTGACTTGTTAATACATCCATAAAATTATTGAATGTCATTTATTTTAGTTTGGTTTATTTTGTGTACTTAGATTAGATTATAGACTGTCAGATACTGTTATATATTTTGTGTACTTATTAGGTTAGATTCGATGAGAATGATAGACGTTAAAAAATTATGCAAATTATTTATTCAAATTTTTAAAACAAGAATTACATGTAATTGTAGCATTTTATTCTGTGACAGCCGTTCATATAGTTAATATGACCTAACAGAAATTGAAGCATACATGACCCTAAACTGCAAACTAATGTTGTTAGTATTATTAGCATTAATTATGAAATGAACCATTAATTATTAAGAATTAAATTGGAATTCGTATTAATTTTTTTTGATTTTGTTAAAATATATTTAGTGCTTAATTTATATTACACAATAGATATTGGGATAATAACAATGAAATTATACCCAAGTTAAACTTGATTGCCGTCAGTAATATCTGTAATAAGAGTCTGAGTTAATGTACTATAGTATATTATATTTTGTATGTTATGAATTAATTTGATTAATTTTGTTTGTACATACACAAGATAAACTGTTATTTATTTGTATATTTAAACTACTGAGTTGTTTATGTTAAATAATGAAAAGTTACATTACACATTACACACTCTCACAAAATTCTTTGTTAACTGAACTGCAGTACATGCTATAGAAACTTAAAATAATTATACACTTTACTTACATGTGAAGAATATATTTGTATCATTTCAAATTTATGGTGAAACTAAGATTTTTAAATCAGCAAATGGTCCCTAAGTCTACTCACCTTGTTCTTGAGGGTGACGCTCTTCGAATAAAGCCCAAGACATTACCCATCAAGCATGATCCATATGAAACTTGGCATGTTTGTTCCTTTGACAATTGTGTATTGATATGATGTCACAATTCCAAGTCATGCTTTGTTCCTGGTCCATATACAACTATAATTAAGACAGTAAGGTGTGTAATACATCGCAAATGGAATGGTTAATAATGATGGATTCTTTCACCTGGTGTTAGAACTACAGAATAAGTAAATAGCTCAATGTATTTAAAAAAATTATAAAAGCTTCATTCAGGTGAAACAGGTTAGGGGTAATAAAATCTTATATATTTTAAATTCACCATAAAACTTACAATATGACTATAATGTAATATTATAATAAGCTACATATAGTCAGTCTCAAAATTTTAAAAACAAGCCCCCAAAAGACTTGTAAATAAGGATTACTAAAAGACTTAGATGTATTTGTTCATTAGTATTAATGCAGAAAGTAGATATTGTCTCCTAGGTTTTGACATAAAAGTTAATATGTCAAAAAGTGCTCGCGAGTAAAAATTTATGTAACAAATTTGTATTTATGAAAGATTTCTTAAATATATTAATTGTATGAGAATATGAGTGTTGATGAAAAGTGGTGTATCATCTTTGTGTGCTACCAAATTTCTATATTGAAGAGATATTAAATACTCACTACAAATGGGGTTTATTATGAGATGTAAGGAAGTAGCTTGTTATAATACTAGCTATGCATGTACATGTGGTTTATACACCAGATTGTCACAATGATATAGAATACAATTACTGTTTAATACTGAGAGAAGTTTCAACTAGACTTCTCTATTATTAATTGTATTCCATAGAATTCCAGTTCAATGACTAAATAACATTGAAACAATTTGATATGCTCTCAGTTTATTTGGATGTATAAAGTCATTATTATCATTCAACTGACCGGTTCCTATCTGATTGTCTTCATTTTTCCAGTTCAATTCATTGGATTATAAAGAAGAATATAGAAATTCATAATCTTTCCACACTAAATCGCTGAGTAACTCCCAATTTACCACTTATCTCATAAAATTGTGTGATCTGACTGTCATGCTAGCTAGTAGATGTACAAGGTAGGTTATAACAAGCCCCTGTATATATGTTTTGCAATTCAATTCCTTCAGTCCCAAAAATACTGCTCAAAATCCTTATAATATTTATAAGATTCAACTTAAATTACAATTTATTTCCAAGGACAAGGAACTGTTTTATGTTTTATTTAGAAGTTAATTATGTATTTAACTTTAATTCCTCTACACATGTGGGAGATATTAATTTGTCTAGTCCTATGATTGTTAAGTTATCTAGTTTGACATTCGGACAGAATCACTGTTCGCAATCTTAATATCCGGTAAAATATAAAAATTTGATTTATTTTACAAATAGATTAATCAATTGTAATAGTTCTATTTTAGTCATCTACTAAACTCTACTATTTGCCATTCTTGTTTACATTGGTTCCCTGTTATCCTGTGAAACACAGAATAGTTAGACATCAGACTTTGTGGATATGACTGTTGACATACAGTACTTAAATTAACAATATTTTTAGAGTTGAAGAAAAATAAATTTAATTATTCAGTCAGTCTACCTGATGGACAAGTTATTCTTTTGTATATGAAGATTCTATGATTAAAATTTAATTTATTTTCCTACTTTTGGCTTTAACTTAATATAAGAAAACCTGAGTTATAATAATTGTTCCATTTTTAGATAAATTTTGTAACTTGAAAACTTATATAACATATAAATATGACAGAAATATTCCATACTTAGATTCAAAGTGAAATGCCTAAAAGTTCTGTAAAGGCTCATCATTGAAGACTATGCATCATATAATGAATTGTACTATAATAATTGAATCATCATCGAATTAAGTCTGAGCAAATGTATTTATTAGGATAGATTTGAAACTATAAGTTACTTTGAAAGGTAGAGTTAAAGGGATTTGGTATGGTAAACTGCTGTATCATATGATATATGATTATGCTTACTTATTTTTAATTTCAATTAAATTCTTTGTGACATGTTTTATTAAAAACCTTTCCTTAGTTTTGATTTGGCCTCTACTTTGAATGCAGATAATGTTAAGTGCTGGTCCTATCCCCCAATAAGCTAGAATAAGTGGGGTTTTTTTTTATAAATTGAATTCCATGCGACCAGGTACAACAACAAAACTTTAAATCAGTATAAAGTTTCTTGGGATGGAATGGCCAAATACTGAACCAGAATTTAGTTCAGTAGATAATTAGATGTTATACTCTATTAATATACAATTCAAGAAAACAACAGAAATAGTTGCAAACCTAAATCACGGTTATTTATTTACGTATACATTTTTTAGTTTTAATTAAAAAATATGGTTAAAGTAGCACTGAATCTGTGTGGTTATTCATCAACCTTTTTACCATGCTTATACTGGAATATACATATTAATATAAAAATTCTAACTAAGTCCTAGTACTTGCTATATTCTACATTAATGCTCATTGTTTATATCTGGAGAACATTGCTTACAAAAGTTATTTTGGTTGCTAACTAATTTATAAATTGAGTTTTTAAGCGTTGTATTTGAGAAATGTGGAGGTTTGTAACATTCAGTATGTTTCATGACTGGCCATACTCTACCAGGTTGTAACTCAATGCAAAGACAGGAACTGCTTTATATAAATTAATAACAAATTGTTACTTTAATTGGCAAACTGAATGCATTATTGTTAAAAGTTTGATTAGGCTTCAAAGTTGACAGGATGATATATCTTATAATTTTGTGCATTGAATTTTGGAAATTTGCTACATTTCATTAAACAATTATTTTGGCAACCTATAGAATATGTAAGTGGTGGCTGTGAAGATCTAGTTATGTGTGTTTGTATAGTATTGAATATAAAGAGTTGTGTTTGAGAACCACTCTTAATGTTTGGTGATATTTTGTTTGTTCTTTCTCTCCTATTTTGTGTTTAATATCAGGGAATTTATTGTAAATATAGAAGTAAGATATGCATTATCTCCATATCCTGTTGAAGATATCAGTTTGTTTATTATAATATATAATTATAAAGAATGTGCTTTTTCTACTTGGAACCATTTTGTACATAATAAGCTGTAATATATTATTATAATTATTATTATACATAAGT